TTGGTTGCTGGTGAAAGTCACTAATTTGAAAGTTTATGGCTCCCTTTCGACGAAATGTGATATTTGTGGCTGACCGCAACATGCATTATCATGTTACGTGCACATTCATCTTAAACAGCCGATTAGCGTTGAACAGGAAATGTTTATGTTAATGTGACTTCCGACTCGACATAAATGGTGACGTGCACCCTTGAACATTTCTGCCTGCTTACAAGTTGCAAAACTTCAATCGGCCGGCATAACTGCAGTGCCACGAGAACTAAGTAGACACTGTGTTTTAAGACTTTTATGAATGCAGAAGCATAGCATGTCATTGTGCATGGCCTGGAGACGTCGGAGCAATCTTCTTACTAGTTATGGTGTCAAACTGTGATGCCTGCAAAGCATAGATGACAGCCGAGCCATGCATATACGGTGACTGCCTCCTCCCGCAGTAACTGCGGCGGTCAATTTGTACCATTTGACACGGACGCAGAACGGCATACTTACATCGATGCAAGAAGTTTAGAATTAACAATGTGTTTTCTATCGAAATAACTCGATCTGGTCATCTGCACAATGAAGCCGAGAAGCGCGCTCGTCGTGACACTAGTCCTGTGGAACGTCGTGACACTAGTCCTGTGGAACGTCGTGACACTAGTCCTGTGGAACGTCGTGACACTAGTCCTGTGGAACGTCGTGACACTAGTCCTGTGGAACGTCGTGACACTAGTCCTGTGGAACGTCGTGACACTAGTCCTGTGGAACGTTCCCTGCTGACCCTGTGGAACGCTCCCTGCTGACCCTGTGGAACGCTCCCTGCTGACCCTGTGGAACGCTCCCTGCTGACCCTGTGGAACGCTCCCTGCTGACACCCAGTGGACAGGGGGATTCGCACAAGTGTGTCATGTTGTAAGGGACATTCGGGACCAGAGCACTTCACGTATTGGATCAATTCACGGATTGTGTATCCATCCGCCGCATTGGACCGGATCAGAAGTTTCCATCAAAACAGGAATTAGGATTCGATCGGATTTTAAAATTTGCAAAAAAATAATTTGGTTATGCTCGGATTTGCCAATCGCAGCGGATTGAAAACCAGTCGAATAGAATTTATCACTTAATGGCCCCCGAAATGATGAATGGATATATCAACTTAGAATAGGATTGTTAAATCAATAAAGTGCAGCAGCCTCAATTCCAAACAAAGCACAAAACAGGCTGCACCGTAAACAACTCAGCTACACATGCCACAGAGAAACCATGGCTAACAGGTCACATTGTCAAAGTTATACGGATGAGTGATAGTAATAGATGCTGCTATGGGAAACTTAAGCTCGCATTCTCTCCAAGGTAAATAAAATGTTTAACTGAATACTTACCTATTTTATCGTCACGTAACCACCGTTCCATAAGATCTTGCCAGCAATTCCATTGAACTCCGGTGGTGATATTGCATTCCGAAATTGAAAAACTAGACAGGAGCATGTTTCGTTTGTAGAAAACGCACCACAGCGCAATCTCTTGTCTGAGAAAATCTTTGCAAAGTGAACCCCATGGCAGCATTATAGTTTCTGCCTGCTTAGTCAACCAGTGGAATTTATGAGATAAACACCACCTTCTAATAAGCAAGATGCTTAAAGTGGTCCATTTCCAGGTTAACGTTGGTTAACATACCTCCCACGACCGTCCATTCATTCGTCAAATAAAGATTTGGCGACCCCTCAAATAAGATTTGGAGAACTTATGCGATTACCAGAGCCCTTGGCGAATGGATAGCCTGAATATGAGATGTCAAAACACTGGCGGTCATGACAGATGACGGGCGAAATGTACCTAACTTTGGCACCATGTTTTGCAAATGCTTGATGATTCTATGTTTGTGCCTGCTGTTTATGCCTCACGGTACATGGGTTGACTGAAACGCAGCGTCATTTATTGATGTATTTATGATATCTCTCTTAGAATGCGGAAAACGTGATTGCGAAAAGGTGAAACGTGAAAAAGGTGCATGATTCATAGATGATATGGCTACCTTTGGTACGTGACATGGTATGGTCATACACGACCAGATTGAGAACTAATAGGAAAAAAAGCGGGTGAAGTGATCGTTTATTTTGGGTATGGGAAGTGTTGCACGATGTGTAGTGTCAGTACATTATACTAAGTGACTACGTTCTTGGGGTCTGGATTAATGACCACCGGCTTTATGTAACTTTTAAGGAATTCATCACTTCGATGTTACCCACCGCTAAAAAGCTGGCCATTTTCATGTCTATGGCCTGCAACTGCGCTGTTCTAGGACTAGAAGGCTTTTTATCTCCCGCAAATAGGCTCCCGAAACCTTGCTAATAATCAGATATGATGGAATCGAAAAGGAAACAGCTGGGATTTCCAAGAGCAACGGTGGGCTACCGCAAATTAGATGTCAGCGAAGCTCGTGGAATCCGTGGCTGACTTAAGCATTGCTGGCTTAGCTGACTTTAGCATAACAAAGCATTACTGCCCGGAACGCATGAGCAAAAGCCGCGGTCATAATGCCGGAATATGTGCATATAAGTATATACATACCATCTGGTTATGTGTTATATATATATATATATATATATATATATATATACATTCACTTTAAGTTAAGCACGTGATTGTGAAGCTGATGATGCTGTGAAGAAGCTTTCCGTGCCGCCGCAGCCTCCGCCTGCGTTTGTTTACGCCACGTGAGCCAGCCTTGCAGTTGACTGGTCAATAGCTGCGTACAATCAGCCTCTCTGAGCTGGGTACATTTCTAAGCGAAGCTCTCTCGGGAGACGAACTATGCATGTCTGTTAGTCCGATCATTAACATTTGTTAGCTATTTTCATTACGCCGATTTTTAACACGCGCTCGGGTGGGGGTCAAATTGCCCCCCCCCCCCCGAAGGCTTTTCCAGAATGGTTTCCGAACGGCACGGTGTAACCGCGCCAAATGTTGCTCAGCTGTAGACAATTAAATAGCGGATCGTTTGGCAATAAAAGTTATATGTTCCTTGTAAGGTCGCTGACCTTTGGCAGCTGGCAGGTGGAAGTCAGGGCATGGTTTCAGCGAAGGCAATTTCTAGGGAATCGTTCAATCTGACACGACAACGAAATGTTTGCCGAAGTCATGCACCTCTGAGATGCTTTCATAGGCAAGACAACAGTTGACTGACAAATCACGTTGACCTAAGGTCGGGCATGAAGGTCAGACCAAGGTCAAAACCAACCTGATTTCTTACTCTAGGGCTTGCTGTATGGAAGAGTTTCTGGTGCCCATTTCGAATTTATTGACAGCAGGAACCGCATTATACAGCTTCCATTGACTTCTCAGAGGCCACAATAGGTCACTGACCTAAGATGACCCGGGCCGACATTTTGTTTTAGGAACATACTGCCTAACGCAATCTTTGTCGCTTATTTAAATGCAAAACTCTAAGCAGGTTTGTTTAATTTTGGTCACCATAACCTTCAAAAGGTCAAACAAGGTCACTGACCTTAAATAGACTAGTGACCTTTGCTTAAAAATAGTTGTCTAAGTTCTAGGGGCATTTTGGAGACCAACCTAAAATTTGACCTTGTTTGACTTTATTTGGCCCGAAGATCATAACCTAGGAAGCTCAAAATTTGCGTCAATCGAGTTCAGGTACTGGTTAAGACACCCTGTAAATTTGGCGTTCCTAGCCTTCTTAGTTCCCGAGATATCAGGCGGGGGTCAAATTGACCTTCTCCCCACCCGAGCGAATGGTATCTAGATGGCCACCAGGGCCCGTGTTAAGTTTCTGTCGGAAGCTATCTATGGTAAAAATAAAAGGAATCCTGGCCCGAGGAGACGACCGCTGCCCTCCCCCATAGCTGCGTCCCTGCGTTCTTTGCATTCAAGCAACAATCACACTCGCTTCGGAAGGTGGACAAGGTGATGGAGCCATCGAAGGCTAACAGTCCCCCTCGATCTTCCAAGTTCAGAGGACCAGTTCAGTTCACCAGTCCGGCTGCACAAATTTGACAGTGTCACCTGCTGAAGGTATCGTTTATTACAGCACTGCATTGCTGAAGTTATGTCCAAGCGTCACCCGGCCGGGTGTGTGGAATAATGGTTTATGTCTTGAACTTAAATATTTGGGGCCGTTCGTGGTGCTCTTGAACTTGGATGTGTCTTAAAAGCTAAAGTTGTGTGTACCCTAAATGTGGATTGTGGCTCCCGCATCACAAGATTTTCGTGCCCCTTCGGCGCAAGGTGGGGATGGTCCCCCCCTCCCCTTCTGGACCCGCCACCGTGCGTGACTAAGACTGAAGTGTTCCGTGTCGTGCCATACGTTGGATGTATTGGTGGTAGCGAAGGTCGAATGCTGGTATTGATTTGTTGCATGGGAACACATGGTGCACACGTTAGTTCACGAAGTTGAGACATCCAAAAGTATTTTATCCTGCTACTGCAGGCCAATGTTAAAGCTCAGAATCACATGGGATCGAGCCCGGCCCCTCCCCCTTCCCCCAATGCATGGAAATTAAATTCGTGGTGATTTGAGACCGTGCCTTATGATAGCCGACACAAATAACGGAAATGTGTTACAGGTATTAAAACTTACGGAACATTTAACGCGGCAATTAAAGCGAATTAGCGGGGCAATGACCCGCGAAGTGAGTTTCACCGAAAACCTTTTGGATCTACGGAGGTACTTCGGTCGTTTCGGTCCACCTCCGGTTTCCCCGCGGACAATGCGGTTCCAGCCGAAACAAATGACCCGTAGTCTGTTTGGGAACCCGGGAAACTTTTCACCTTCGCCACCTCTCCTCCATGTCCCGCACTGTCTCATTCGGGGATGCCTCGGAGCCGGCTCTGGGCGGCGGCTGGTTTCCGGGTGCCGGTGCCCGATATGACGTCACGCTGACGTCATCGGCGGGGCGGAGCCTGAGGTCGACGCGGCTTGAGGCGTGTCCTGCGCCTGAGGGGGAGGGGCGGGGGGACGGCTGGAGGTGGCCGCCGCCGCGCTGCCGCGAACATTGCCAGTTGTTCCGTGTGCAAGGAACGGCAGGGAGCACAGGAGAACCGGACCGGCCGCCAGACCGGACTTCACGCGAGCTAGCGCGCCCCACACGTGGGAAGTGATCCGGACGCCACAGGTAGGCTGAACGCTGCACTAACGTACGGTCCGGGTCAAAACCGGATACGCACGCGACATCTGAACAGTGCTTTGATCAAGGCTGCTTTATTTTGATCATTGGGAGACACGGCTATGTCTTTGATGGTATTAAATTCCGAGTAATACACATCCAGAGGCGTTCGCAACACTCGCGTAATCACGTCTCCCATTAGCGAATGCGTTACCACCGATCATCTGGGAAACATACGGAGTAAGAGCACACGAAAGGCGCCAGATTGTTCATTGTCCACCACAGCATATGTGAATATAACAGCAGGGCCTGCGAAGGCATTATGAGAGTCGCTAGCTGCTTCTCCTTCAGGCTCCTATGGGCATCATCTGCGATCCATCGAGGCTGCCGCCCTTCTTCCAATCAGTCTACGGGAACAGATTGCGCATTTACCTAAAAGTACCTGCCTGAACCCAGCGTGGCCATCGAGTTCTCCAGACAAGATCATTCGGATTTCCAAGGCGGTAACAAGCATTTGATCTTTCTTCGGACCTGGTTTTGTCCAAATGGTCCTGTATATTGAACTTCCCCGCCACAAATTCGAGGTCTAATTCGAGGTCTAATTCACCTCTTGAATTAGTGCGCATGGCTCTTGACTGGTGTTTTGCCCTTCCGAAAACCATATACGACATAAATCTATCCCTGAACTTGCAATCTTTCATTTGTGGAACCTTGCGTAAGTTGATCTTGTTTGACCGCTATCAATTGCTCGGATCCTAACCTCAGCGTTGGCAGTATAGAATGGTACAGGTAGTCCATTTTTGGCCCACCTACTTTGTCATATTTACCTGACATGTCTGCGTCACATCGCGCGCACAAAACAACGCCTTCGTTTCCGTAATTGGCCTTAGGTCAGATATGCTCCGGTGGTGAATACTCTCGCAATGTCGTTGGTTAGCATGACAAACAACTTCCCCTTTTATTTCAATCATGAAATGCATGGCAGCATTATATCGGGACTCCGTGCGCGTCGCTAGAGCTTTACGGTCGTATCAAACGTACACTTGCTGTGACAATGGTTCACCAACTTTCTGAAGGTTTTTGGCGGTTCTAATCTGTGACGTCTCGAGTGACCTGGGGGTCATCCCGACCGCATGAGCGTCCGGGAGAAACAATGGTCAAAGCAGGACCCTGAGCAAGGTATGTCCGACCGACGGCAATCATCGACGACGGCAATCATCGACGACGGCAATCATTGACGGTGGTGCAGAGCGACGCTGCGTCTGAGGCCGGTCGGGACTACCGATTACCTCCATCCTGAAATTAACGTCGCATTCCTCACGACCAAACACACACACACACACACACACACACACACACACACACACACACACACACACACACACACACACACACACACACACACACACACACACACACACACACACACACACACGCACGCACGCACGCACGCACGCACGCACGCACGCACGCACGCACGCACGCACGCACACGCACACGCACACGCACACGCACACGCACACGCACGCACGCACGCACGCACGCACGCACGCACGCACGCACGCACACACACACACACACACGCATACACGCGCGCACTCGTCGAGACAGACGCCGAAGGCACGGCGACCGCCGGGGGCGCGTCCAACAGCAGACGAGGCCGAACTTGACCCAGATGGGGGCCGGATTGCATCACGTCGCGGCGCCGGTCACTTCCTGTTTGGCCCGAGCTAGCGCAGCCGCATCGCCACAAAGTGCCGCGCGCACGCCGAACGCCGCAGGCCGATCGGACCCTGGCCGCTGTCGGCTGGTGCCGTGTGCTGGCTCTGGGTCTGTGGCGTCCGGTCAGGATGGTGTCCGGCGGTGAGCGACCCGCTGGGTCTAGAGCCAGTGGGCAGCGGCAGCGCTGCTGCATGAGGTTAGCAACGAACGGCTGCCTTTGTACAACGTAGAACACCTAGCTCGAGTTAGGCCGTTCCCAATTTTCACTCCGTGTCCCGAGTAGGCTCTTGGTAATCGTGCTGGCTCTTAGGCATTCGTGAGGTCCATGCTTGGTTAAACAATTTACTGCTGTAGCTTAAAGCATATTCATCGACAGCTGCACGCATATGGCTGTATGGACTGCTTGCCAAGGATGCCACAACATTCTCCTCCAGCTTTTTACGCCTAAAACTTGTGTGTGATTCGTGCAGCACCAGATAAAATTCCCAATCAAGGACTTTGCCGCCGCTTTTCGTTGCCGTGTAGCGGTACGAGCGGGGCAGCAAGGGCGTAGATTGAGATTTACCGCAATTTGTACTCGAAGTCGACACAATGTTGCTGCAATTTCGCACAATGTTGAAATTAGTCACCATGCGGGAGGTTTCGCACTGACTGTTACAAAAACTGGACTCCACTCTTCTCTGACCTTGATGGCAGGCAAAACAAGCCCATCTGAGGTCAGAGTTCGGATCTACAGTGTTTCAGTCATGCTGGCTCTCTCTTCCTTCCCCTCCCTCCGTTGCCGCCCATCCCCCTCTCTCTCTCTCTCTCTCTCTCTCTCTCTCTCTCTCTCTCTCTCTCTCTCTCTCTCTCTCTCTCTCTCTCTCTCTCTCTCTCTCTCTCTCTCCTCTCTCTCTCTCTCTCTCTCTCTCTCTCTCTCTCTCTCTCTCTCTCTCTCTCTCTCTCTCTCTCTCTCTGTCTCTCTCTTTCAGGTGCAATTGTGAGCTGTCCGTGGCGGGTCAAACAGCGCCCGGTCCCCCGTCGACGAACAGGGCCGGCGCGCGTAGGTGGCAGGTGGGGCGCGGTGGGGCGCGGACAGGGACCTTGAGGCGGGGCGCGCGCGCGAGCCAGCGCGGAAGTGCCTACCGCCAAGGCCAGCATCTGAGCCAGCCCGGCGAGGTCGATGGTCACATCGTAGAAGGAAGTGATGTCAGTCGCCGGGAAGCAGTTCCCTAGAGAACAGCGCTCGATCAGGGCTCCCGCCGGACTGCCTCTCACGGACCCGCCGGAACGCCGCGACAGGTGAGCCAGCGCACGGCGGCCGTCTGCACACGTGCCGCCCGCTAACACGTGCATGCCGCGAGTGTGCTGCCGTCTCGACCTGTCGACATGCCGCGGGTGAGGCAAATCTCGGTGAGTCAATCGTGCTGCACCTTGGAGCCTGTTTTCGTGTCCGGCGGCGAGGCTGAGGGCTGATCCACCGTACCCCTCTGGCTGTACCAGCAGCCTATCTCGCAGCGTCGGGCGCGTGTGCAATCCCTTCGAGCGTAGCTGGGACGCTGCGGCCAGCGCCGCCGCCGCTATTTGGGCCAACTTTTACCGTCCGGCTCAGTCAGCAGAGGCGCGCCGCGCGAGAAAGTTGGCCCTGCGCGCTCCGCGTCCAAGGCGCGCAGCTCGCCGAAACAGTGCTCGATCGTCCGGTGTTGGCCACAGCCGGCGCGGCGTTCGTCGGCGCTCATCGTGCGCGGAGTTCGAGGTGCGCCGGTGGCAACGATGTGCGCGCGCTGAAGCCGGGCCCGTCCGCCAGGCCCGTCAGGAGCCGGCCGCGTGCCGGCAGCGCCGCCACGATCGGTGCCGGGGCGTCCTCGGCGCCGGGCCATGTCCCGCGTGAGTAGATCGCCGAGGCACCGGCCGGGTGCGGCTCCCTGGCTACGTGCCCCCTTCGGACGCTGTCCCTCATCGTGTCGCCCTCAGCTGTGCAGCTGTGCGGAGGCGGCCTTCGACTGCAGCGGTGGAACACAGCGGTGTCCCCCCCCCCTCCGCCTCAGCCCGCTGCTCGCTCTCCTCCGTAAAGTGGGATCAGTTTGCGTCTGGCTGACCCTGGCATAAATACCCGACGTCCCGTGCGGATGAGCGTGGTAGACAGACGCTCCGGCTACAGGGCGTCCGTACATTTTACCTGAGTGCGACGGTGCCGTCCCCGCCGCCTAGTGCCTCACCCAGCCCGGTCCAAGGTGCACCGAGCAACAGTTTGCTTTTACAAACTGTTGTAATCATGGAGGTTTAAAGTGCGACCGTTCTGTTCTTTCACCACCGTGCCGTTTCATCACGCAAAGCCAGTTATCGTGGGCCAGAGAGCGCTGGCATGACTTTGCTGCCCGTGCGGGCAGCCTCCAGTGCTGAACTGTGACAGCGTGCACCGCGCGAACCGTTCCGAACGCGTGTCAGTTCATGCCTTGCCCGGCTGTTGGTGCGTGGCTTGGCTCAGTTTCGCAGCTGGGTCACGTCACCTGCTGACTGTCAGCTATTGGTCGGTGCTCCATGGGTGATGGCTCACCTGCTCCCCAGCTGCAGCGGCTGGCGATCCAGGGGTCGGCCCTTCCGCTCACCCGCAACCATATTGGGACTCAGGACTCAGGAGTCCCTATGAACCACAATGCACTCAGCAGATCCAGGGGCGCTGCACTACCTGCTGGTCTGTCCGGCCCATGTTCCAATCAGGTGCTGCATATTCTTACGGAAAAATCCAGTTATGTTGCTTTAATCCCCACAAGGTCTGCCAAATGATTCAAGGCGTCGAACGGATGTTCGGTTGGGTAAGATTAAATACATACCGAGTGCGATGATTTCAGAGGACTGCTTGTTGATTGGAGCAGTGACTGTGACAGCGATGTACACATCAACATACATCAAATCAGGAGCGTAAGACGCTGTTGAATGGAGCAGTGACTGTGACAGCGATGTACGCATCAACATGCATCAAACCAGGAGCATAAGACGCATGCATTTAAGGATTAAAATATAGGTCTATCGCGGATTTTAAACGGTATCAGTCAGGCCCAGTGCTTTTGCAGCCTCGAGCAAAACATGGTGCCTCTGTCCCAGGCGCAAAAATAATCCAAAGCCAAAATGTACAGATTCTCTACGAGTCGGGTCAAGGCGGACGCCTCGCCGCATCGCGCCTGGTTTCCAGTTACGAGCTGTTAGGGGTTGAACATGGCATGCAGTGCAGCCGGTCCTGACGCTGCCGGACAGGTGACCAAGTGGGAATGGACGGACCCGCGGAATGGAATCGGACAACCTTCAGAAGTCAGTCAGTCCTGCCCTGTCCTGTTCTGTATTCCGGAGCAGCCTGCTCCTACCTCCTGTGCAACTCTGTCCTGTGTGCTGTCCTGTGAGGGATGGTGTGTGTGGTGCCTGTGAAGGGGTGCAGTTCCGGCTAGAACGACTGCCCACGGCTCTACTCTGTTCTTCCCTGCTTTATCCTGCTTTACTCTGTTCTGATCTTCGGCTCACGGCGATGTACTGTCTTATCATTGCGCTTTGGTTCGTGTAGTGCCGGGTGTTTTTCTCTTGAATCGGCATGCCTTTACATATTGGGCGGCTAGGCAGCTGGATTATGTGGTCCGTCAAGGCCTAGCACGGCTTTGCGACGAGCTGCAAGATCACGTGCGTGACACTTCCATGGACAGTGTCGGGTTGCTTCAGATGACCTCGAGACCAGCCGACAGTGAGCGGGCCATTCAGAGGATTAAAAAGTACGGGGGGTTATCTGTTGATGTCAGCGTAAAGGGGCCAATGCCTACGCCGCTGCCGAGGCCGGGGAGCGCTTGCATTGTTTGAAATCTGTGATGAGGGCGTTTCATACGCGGGTCGCAATTTGATCTCACAGGTAATTTGCGTCTGCATTCCAGGGCAGTGATATGACCTTGTCATATCATGCACTTCCTTAACACGCGCCCGGGTGGCCGGCTAAATACCTTTCGCTCGGGTGAGGGGTCAATTTGCCCCCCCCCCCCCCTGAGATCCAGGGAACTAAGAAAGCTAGAGATACCAAATTTACAGGGTATCTTGACCTGTACGCTAACTCATGTAGGTCAAAGTTTCAGGTTGCTTGGTCATGATCTCCGAGTCAGATAAGGTCAAACTAGGTCAAGTTCCAGGTTGGTCTCTAAAGTGCCCGCAGAACCTAGATCACCATTTCTAATCAAAATTTCGCATGCTCACTTAAGGTCAGGGACCTTGTTTGACTTTTTGAAGATCAAGGTGACCAAAATCATGCAAGATTGCTTTGAGTTTTGCATTTGACTAAGCGACAAAGATTACGCTAGGCAGCATGTTCCTAAAACAAAATGTTAACCTTGGTCATTTCAGATCAATGACCTATTATGACCTCTAAGAGGCCTATGAAAGATTTATAGTGCGGTTCCTGCCATCAATAAATTTGAAATCAGCACCAGAAACCATCCCATACAGCAAGTCCTAGAGTAACAAAACAGGTTGGTTTGACCTAGGCGTGACCTTCATGCCCTGACCTTAGGTCAATGCAATTTTCTCATTCAACTGTTGTGTTGCCTAAGAAAGCATTTCAGAGATGTATGGCTTCGTCTAACACTCCGTTGTTGGATCAGATTGAAGGATTCCCTAGAAACTGTCTTCGCTGAAACCATGGCCTGACTTTGACCTGCCATATGTCAGGGACCTTACAAGGTACATCTAAATTGTTGATTCCGAACGATCCCCTGTTCAATTGTTTACAGCTACACAAAATTTGGCGCGGCTACGCCGCGCCGTTCGGAAACCATTCTGGAAAAACTTTTGGGGGACAATTTGACCCCCATCCGAGCGCGTGTTAAGAGATGAAATACCGTACAGCTGATAGGGTGTCTACAGGGGATGACCAAAGTGCAACACCAGCCGAATTACATACTTACCATGTAACAGGAACACCAAATCCGAATGTCTGCTTTCCTTTGTATAGACCAAAAACTTGGCATTGAAGTGAATAAAGTCTGCACCTGGGCGGCCTGGGCTTTCCTGCAACTGACGCAGGAGTCACTTCCGGTGCAATATCGGTACGACGGCAAAACAGCGATCGGAATCCACGATAAACGCGTTCTTGCTTGTCAGTTGTTGGGTCAACGTCGAATCTGACAATCTATTACTCGTGTAAGCATTAGCATACGATATAGGGTTTGTTCATCAGCAGCTGACAGCCAGGCTGCACTAGATGCCACAATGGAGACCTCTGCGTCTATTTTGCACGTTTTCTGCGTTACTCAGAGATTTGTCCTGCAGTGTGATGCACTCATCTCAGCACCCAGGCATGATTTCCATATCACGGCCCATCGAGCAATTGTCGCGGGATATCAGCCCATACGAAACTCGGTGACGAAACAGACTTTCACATCTGCCGTGTATTGACTCGGCACTTAAAGACGCGATCGGGCATGATACGGGCGCTGGCGGGAGGCGGGCTCCCTCAGCCGCGTCGGCCCCCACCCGACGGGAACCCGACAATTGTGTCACAGCCGACAGGGTGGCGCCTCTCCACCGCGGCCATCCAGCCGCTCGCTCCATCGGGTCGGCTGCGGACCGAGACGCGGCCGCCGGGGCCGGTTGCTCCTGCGGCCCCTCTCGGTCGGGTCATTCCGTGAGAGAGCCGAGAGTCGGAGGGTACCACCATCTCGTGGCTCCGCAGGTGGTGGCCATGCACCTCGAGCGCCGGAGACAGCCCTCTTCGCGCATCTGATGTGTGTGTGTGTGTGTGTGTGTGTGTGTGTGTGTGTGTGTGTGTGTGTGTGTGTGTGTGTGTGTGTGTTTGTGTGTGTGTGTAGATGTGTGTTCTAGCGGTTTCTGACCTGTTCGCCGCGCTCGTTGCCTAGGTTTGGCAGTTGGGCCCGGTTTGCGCACCAGAGGTGCTGCACGCGATTTCCGAATAGCAATCGTGAGACAGCTTGTCGTATTCCCACACGTGGTGGAAACTTTCTGATCCGGATTTAATGCATTTTTCCTCTTTTCAGCGTGTAACCGCACGGTCGGGGCTTGCGCCAATATGAAGGGCTGGTTCGACGCGTTCCGCACGGATGGAGGACCGACTCTGTACCACCACAGCAACCGGACGGCCGTCACCGGCGACGTCTCCACCATCATCATCTCCATCGTGTTCGTCACGGTGCTGATTGCCTTTCTGCTTATCTTCCCGGGCGTGCGCAGCCAGGTGAGTACGATGTGTCTAGACGAACGGGGCCGACTCAGCTGAGACGGGCTCGTGAGGCGCTGAGAGCCGTGCTGGCCGCGGGTGACCGCTGACTCATCGGGCACAGATGAGCGAGTGACTCCAGGCCGGCGGGTACTTACCCCCTATCAGCTCAGATGCCGTCTCATCCTGCAGCCGCGCTGTTTTTGTAGAGGGGTACACGGTGCTCTCTTCGCCGTCGGCGTTGAAGCTGGATTGTCAGCCGCGCGAACACGGTCGCACTGCGAGTCCTGGGTGCCTGGTGTCCGCCTCGGTGCCTGGCGTCCGCCTCGGTGCCTGGTGTCCGCCTCGGTGTCTGGTGTCCGCCTCGGTGCCTGGTGTCCGCCTCGGTGCCTGGTGTCCGCCTCGGTGCCTGGGGTCCGCCTCGGTGCCAGGTGTACGCCTCAGTGCCTGGTGTCCGCCTCGGTGCCTGGTGTCCGCCTCGGTGCCTGGTGTCCGCCTCGGTGTCTGGGGTCCGCCTCGGTAGCTGGTATCCGCTTCGAGCCTGGTCGGCGGCGCCGGCGCCCCATGTCCGGTGACCCTGGTGGTGTCGTGTCTCTGACACACGTGCCACTGCGCGCGATGGCCGTGTCAGGTACCCGGTCAGACAGCCGACCGTCTCAGGACGGGTATCTGCGTCCGTCATTGCCGCTCCGGTCATCCCGGTCAGGTCATCCTCTGGCCCCACCAGCTTGTCCCGCGTGGTGTGACGAGCGAATGCAGGCGGCTTCCTGACGCCTCCCATCAGAGAGAATCATCAGGAAGGGAGTGGGCAGCAGATATCGCGATGGAGCGTTGATGATAATCTAACCATTTTCAAGAACTTTGAAGTGAGAGGGCGAAAAAATGTAGCTCACGAGTGGCGGTTATTGGATGTTTCAGATTCGTCAGAGTGCGGTACAAATATTAGTGGTGCATTCAGACCAAGATGTTCTGGAGTTGTTGGGCCTTTTAACGGATCTGCCTGCAAGTATCTGGTGCCGAAACTGCACTTGACCCGTCATGACATGACTGTCCTGGTCAGCCACTATTATGCCATCTCTCGGCAGGCTTGTGGCTCATGAAACCTAACCACATATTGGCGGCGCCTCTTAGGAAAAGCAACGGAGTGCTTAACGCATTAGGCAATAGGTTTTTCACGGTTGTGAAATGTAACGCGTAATTTTACAACGACCGATCCATCGCCGTATGACGGGTCGCGGAAATTATATGCGAGCAATGTTCGTTTTATCTTAAATTCATGTTACGACAATTAGATCATTATCAGGATGGGAGCTTGAGTGTCCGCCTATGATTAAAGACTGCAGCGGCATGGGAGCGGCATTTACTCTCTGTGGGATGGGAGTAGTTTATAGCTGTAGTAATAAACAGCAAGTAATTGTCAACCGCTAAACTAAATGAGGATGCACGGAAACGCACGGAATGATGTACTGCGACAGCGAGGAGCATTATGTTACACAATGAACTTAAGCCATGAGCACAATATACGCCATTGACAAAAATCAAGCCATTATGTGTGTTTGCACTACAATGCGTGACCGGTGAGTGCGATTCGCCACAAAGGCCTATGTGGTGACTGCAGAAAGACAGAGGCGCGCAGCTAACACGGCTCGGAGGGAGCCCGGCGCCGGGTATACCACGGGCTTACCGCGCCGTCAGCGAGCTCGGCAGACCGCACCTGTCCGCACACACTGCACCTGTCGACATGCCCGAACCACCCATAACAAAACGAGGCCAATTGAATGGGATCTGTTATCTGGCGAAGACAGAACCTCTCGCGTCGGTCAGCTGTTTACCAGCGCGGGAGTGTGGAAAGGTGTAAAGGCACGAGGCCACTAATTGACGTCACACCACCAGCGCATGCTGAGCGCAGGCTGGGACGGCCTCGCGGTTATGGCTAGAGCGCGACACCATCAGGTGCGAAAGCCGTGTGGTCGCTGGCGTTTTGATGACGTCACATTGCGGGAGTATGCACGCCCCACCTGATGATTGCGTGACCCCAAACAGAGCCCGGCAGAAGTAAATATTTTGTCGGGTGACGGAAATATTTGCGTTCATCTAGCAGCAACGTGAATTTAGGCTTATTGCCGTTTTAGGCTCATTGCTGCCTTAGGTGTGTCTGTGACATTTGTTCAATGTTTTTAGAGATGGTCAGGTGGTCGCTTGCGGTATCATTGAAATGTCAACACAATGCAGCTTCATCATGAGAGAACACTATTTACAAAATTATTTTTCCCAAGTGTTTTCAGTGGAACGTATTTTTAGGCATGTCATGTTACTAGCAAAGAAAATAGCATACAAAATCCAATGCAGGATGTCTTACTGGACTTAGCCGAATTCATAAAAGGGGCTACGGCAAAAAACCATGGCGTGTAGCCCAGACCCCTCTCGCCATACCATATGCAAAAAGATATCAGGCCTTTTCACACTCTCTTTGAATTGCGTGGTTACCCACCTGTTATAGAAAGGTCCAGCTTATTTTGTGATCTCAATTTTGCTTTGTCATATATATTTTTACAAAACCATAAAAATCAGAACCATTTACAGCGTTGCTGGGATAAACAGTAGTGGTTTGCCGTGCCTGGCTACGTAAAAATTTCGCTTTAAAATGAATGGGCTTACCCAAAAATTGTTTCTCATGAATAAATACAACGTTTTGGTATGAAAAACATGTTTTAATACGCATCAAACCCAAAGAAATCATCTATTGGAACTTTTCACTTTGTCTTCGGTCGAGATATTAGTGGCTAAAACGATATCATGCTTAAAGAGCTGCTGCAATTACTTACTCGTCTCCCATAGTTCTCGTGCTACAGTCAAAAGTTTATAGAGCTGTTAAAGAACAAAGAACAAGCCCTGGCAGAAAGAAAACGGAATAATTTGGGAAAGTGTGGCGTGGCATTTTACATCCTTAGCACCAAAGCGGTTCTTCACGAGGTCCAATCCACTTATGTGCGGAGGCTCAAGTCAATCGAACCACCACAACATGGCTATTGGCTGATCGGTCGGCCGCTGCGAGCTGCGAAGGCTCTCGGCTCGCTCCGTCTCACTCGCGGGACCGCGTGTGCCCCGGCCGGACGCTTCTACGCCGGCGTCGGCAACGACTATCCCGCCCTCGTTCCCTGGTGGCGGCGGCGGCTCGGTCTGACCCACGAGCGGCCTTCTGTGTCTACCACGCCGCGAGCGCTCCTCTGTGTGCAGTGGTGCCGCGGCACTGCACTCTTAGCTATAGCCCAGGGAACGCTGAATGCTTAGATCATGACAATTACAGTTTGCACATCTCACTCAAGTTGTATCGTGCGATAGAAGAATCGGCTAAGGCAAGCTATGTGGGTATGCTGGAATTGATGAGTCGTTTTGTTTCAGCGCTTCACTACGTTCGTCTGCGTCGTCCTCAGTCTTTTCACCGGTGTCGCCATTACACGTGAGTAATGAGGGTGGTTCTCTACACCTATTTAAGTATGTGCATATCTTCTCATAGTTCTGAATACAAATGCAAAAGCGTTTAACCTTAGTACACCCGACCCTCTGCAGTCTCCATTCTCTTGCACACAGTTTACAGGGCTGTGACCGAGTACAAGATGCAGCTGCTGATTATTTGGGATGACATAGGAAAACCGGCCGTGGTATTTGCACGCGCACCGCGCGCACTTCTTCCGTGCTATGACAGCAGGCGAAAACTCCACAGTCACTGACAAATTTGGCCAATCAAGGCATAAAACAGCATCTAGCAGTCCCGCCTCTGGTAAGGCTTCCAGTATGCACGGTTACTATCGCGCTGGCAAGAATGATTCGACAGCACGAGGACGAAAACATTTGGCTCTGTATAGGAAACACCTCCATCCCGGAGAAAGTTCACTACTGTGAATTATTCTCCTCGATGTACACTGACCTGGCCGACACATCCATCAGTAAACCATTAATTAGGTCCGTTTCGTTCTCGATGTCCATCCGTCCACGCACTGTTATCCCCGCGAGGGCCGGGCCGGGCACGGTGCGCCTCGCAGTTGGAGACGTTTCTATACCGGCGGCGCTCCGGCTCAGTGGGTCACGCGGATGTCGTGCGCGCGCACCCGGCGTCCCTCTCGGCCCGAGGTCAGCCACCGACGTCGGCCGAACCGGAACCTCTCAGCCCCCCGCTGCCTTCCTTACACGACGGCGGCGAAAAAGCGCCGGCTCGGCCGCCGCCAGCCGTCGGCGAGCAGTGCGCCTGCTCGTGTCCGCGCGTCGCCGGCCTCGGGAGGGCCGGCGCTCTCTCACGGCACTCTCGGCAAGTGCGCGCCGGCCCGTGCCTCCTGCGTCCGGCCGGACGGCGGCGGCGGCGCTCAGCCTTGCCGCGGGCGGCGCGGAAGTGGGTCAGGGCGTGATGCCGCCCCTTCCGCGTCGCCCGGCACGCTGCTGGACGGCGCAGCGCCGTGGCCTGGCCGCGTCGCCGGAGGAGTGGTCACTCGGGCCCGACGGAGAGCGGTGAGAGCGAGCGATGGCGAATGGGCTACCGTGCGCGTCATGACGAGCCGGTGACGGGAGCTGGACCCAGGTGGACGGGGATGCCGACGGTGCAGCTAGAGGTGTTACCGGGGCCAGCGCGCCGGTCGCGTGCGCTGGTCCAGGCATCTCCTCCAGTTGTGCGATACGTCACCACCTACACCTCCAGGCACCACCTCTAGTCGCGTGACGCGTCCAGTCCCACGGCGGGACGCGTCACGTCCGCAGACGGAGCGTGTGGCGGCAGGGAAGCGCCGGGCCCGAGAACGGCCGCCACGGCTGGCTGGCCCGAGCTCTTACTTCCCGGGCCGGCTGTAAAACTGACCAGCTGGCCGGCTGCGCCGAGGCGGACAGCAAACAAATTACCGCCTGCTCAGGGGGGTTAGTTACGCCGAACCACGATGCGAGAAGTGCTTGTGATAGGGCCGAGACAAACGATTGGAAACGCACTGTATCTTGGGTTAATCTCTGTGAATAAGGCAGCAGAAAATTACATGTGTATACAGCTAGGGTAGTTTCTAATAGAAATGGATCTATTGTTCACCCGTTTATCGTGGATTAAGGCTTTCAACCGATGTCCTGTGGTGTCGTACTAATATTTCAGGCAGACGTTCCATTTGTCTTTGTGGTGCACGCGACGCCACTTGGAAGCCGGTGTTGGCCTACGAATGCACAAGAGACATACGCCATAGTCGTGCTCCCAATGATGATGCGTCCGACTGTTGATGGATTAGCATGCTGTCTAGTGAAGGTGGAATCGCCGCTACATGTTGATGGATTAGCATGCTGTCTAGTGAGGGTGGAATCGCCGCTACATGTTGATGGATTAGCATGCTGTCTAGTGAAGGTGGAATCGCCGCTACATGTTGATGGATTAGCATGCTGTCTAGTGAAGGTGGAATCGCCGCTACATGTTGAACGACGAACTCTAGCGTATATTGTGCGTGGCTACAGCGGTAAAGTGTAGATAGAATGCAGCGTCCAAGTCATATGCGAACGGTTTCGACGTTTGCATGTGCATGCACAGACTTGTCCAGACTGTGAGCGGAGCATTGTTGTAACCATCGCTGTGTAACGTTGCCCGAACCTCATGCCTTGCTGGGTCGGCCCTCGTTGTGCAGCGTCATAGCTGGTGATGCTGCAGCAGAGATCGAAATGAACGGTGGCGTCGCCGTCTTGACGGCCCGGCTGGGACGCACTGTGACATGTAGTATTTTTAATATTTGCTTATTCCGAAGGCCTGTTGGGTGACCCGAAACTCAACCAGCCGCGCATTGCCGACTACCGCCAGCAGAGGGCAACCAGCTGGGCAGCTAGGAGAGGCGAACCTATCCCAGCGCGACGTGGAAGTTCATAAAGTCGTGCACCGTTTAATCCCAGAGACCAGCCGTTTAGCGGACCCGTTTTCCACAACGGCGATGTGTTGGCCGAGCCGCCTGACGACATGAGCCCTGCGTGTGCCGCAGTGGGCGCCACGGGATCGGACTGGCAGAGCGGCACAGTGCAGATCAATACCTACTACCGCGCCTTCTCGGCCGACAGCCTCAGCGCCGACCTCGGGGTCCATATCGGCCTCAACCATGTCAACGTCACTCTCAAAGGTGAGCGCTCCAGTCACGTCCGTGCGCGAGGTGTGAGGCTCCGGGAGAGCCCTGTCTGCCATCATTGTCCGGCGTGGTAGCGGGCGGTCGAACCGTGCTGGCGGGCATGGATTCCTACTCGTGTGTCAGGAAACCTTAGTACAGGCAACCACACTGAATTATTTTTACCAATCGTAAGTCATTAGGATATTTTGTGAAGACCACGTTCAGATGGCTTAAGGTCACATTATTACATGCACTGCACATGCTCTTTGAATGTTATCATAGCATGGTAGACCAACAGGCTGATGGAACAAATTTAAAAAAGGCAGCGCTAATGAAAGATGCTTATTCAGTTATGTTATGTTCAGTTATATATTAAATTCAGTTATTCAGTTATGCTTTATCGCATCGTCTTGGCACCGTCAGCCCAGTGGTGCCAATTTCATGACGTGGTCGACGACAAAAATCATTCATCGTTAACACATTTGCTGACAAAATTACTTCTAGGTATCTCCACCTGGACATTTGTCCTTGAGCTCGGTAAACCATACTGTGAATCAAAGTGTAAAAAAGTAGTTGCAGACCGTTCAGCGGAAAAAGCAATGCTATGTTTGCTTTTTTTAAACTTGTTTAACCGCGCAAACTGCACGCTCTTGCACCCGGTCTTCATCAGTCCTGTCGAGCCTTGGCCAAAATATTCAGTCACGGTCGGCGAAAGTCAGCGACTCACCATGTAAGCTCTGTGGGATCGCTTGGACACTCTCTATCAAGCCCATGAGATTGTGACCTGGTCAGTATCGCTACGAGGTGGTAGTCTTACTGCGGGCGAAACCTCGGCGGCACTAACCTCCAGCACCTGATAATAGCGTCGACTTGGATACATCATGGTGAAATAATCAACCGTCCCATTCAGTGCCGCCAGGCGGAGGCTGGTGGTCCGATGCAGTGTATCGAGACGTCTCAGAAAAAAAGTTCTATGGAATCCGAAATATTCTCGCCAGTGTCCGAAAGGTGACTAAAAATCTGCTTTATTTTCGAAACCAGTTGAAAATGCAATCCAGTCATCAACAGTAGGTCAAAATATTAAAACGAGTACAAGACTGATAGCCCAAAATGGCCCACAAGGGGTGTCACGTCCTGTCTCAATTCGGGGATGTTGATACACGGGCTTGGCGGCTCCCAGTGCAGCTCGCAGCGGGCCCGTGTTGGTGGATTTGGGGGCCGCTGAACCGCTGCACATTTTCAACTAAATGCGCTCTTTCGCTAAAGACCACAGTCGCAACTTGAACGTAATATTCTGGCGTATCATAGCACCAATTTGTTCAGGCTTTCGTGACAATTTTATGCTCGCGGAAACCGTTGGCGACATTCAGCTGCGATTCTCTTAGTTTCCTAGGGGTTCATTGTCGAGAAAAAAATGATTTAATCCATCTCTACCTGCATGCAATCTCCCACACAGCGCGGAGATATGGGTGATAGCTAAATACAGGGTTTGAGAGTATGATTGGTAACTGGATTTCTCTGCATACGTTGTCAATTTTCATGGTTTTACTTAAGCAGAATTTGGTTCTGTTTAGATGTCAAAATTTGATAGGAGCGCAGCCAAAATCCATCACTAGTCCGCACGATGTCTGACGCCATTTGGTTACGACTAGTCTTTTTACGACTAGCCTTTTATCCGGTATCTTCTGGTCTCTTCTCGAAACGTGCGTCATCAGCTGCTGAGGAAGTGGGAAGTCGAATAGTTCATATAGCTCACCTCTCCCTCACATATCAGCGGCCCACATGGCGCCCTTTGCTTACGTCGTTCGCTCGCTGTTTGCGCTGAGAATTACCCACACCAGAGCTCGCCGTTTCTGGTTGGCTTGGCCTCCTGACCTCCCAGCCCTCGGTCACCAGCGGGGAGCGAAACCTTGCAACACGTCAGGATGTCGTGAGCCCTTTAAACCGATTAGCGATTGCCGCATTTTGCGGCCAAACAGTTGCGCGAGTTGTCCGATTCTCAGCCGCCGAGGCTGCGGCGCCGTGGGCCCGTCGGTCTCCAGCCTCCGGCCGGCACGAACCAATCCGTCTCCGATGCAACGACCCCCAGCGCCGTCATCGGTGGCGACGCGGCGCCGGCTGGGCCCGACGCCGCTCGGTCACGGCCTGATCGGCCGATTGTGATCGTGTCGCATTCGTGCTTGCCCTGGGACAGCCCCGGCTGACCGGGCGGCGGCGCTGGCGCGCCACGTGCGCCGCTCGTGGCGCACCACGTCACGCTCGTGCGGCCCCGGTCACCGCACGGTCGGCGGTCGGAATCCCCCCCCCCTCCCCCACTCCCTACTCCCCGCCCACCCCCGGCGACCGGGCGCGGGTTGAGTGCGGCTGCGGTGTGTGAACGAGGCGTCGTAGTCCCGATGAGTCGACATTCCAGTCCAGGCTCGGGCGTGAGCACACCGCATCGGGCTGCCTGTTTGGGCCGCGCTTAATTGCTTTTGGAAAGATTTATTGTGTGGGCTGAGATTAGATAAATCGGCCTTCATTAACCTTTTTCCAAAACGGTAGGCACAATTTCAGCCACCCGTGAAGGATAAAAATGGGAGTGTCAGAATATGCACGTAGCGGCTTGGGTGAAAGAAATTACGTTTATTGGATCTCAATGGACCTTGAATGTGTGATGCGTTTGAGATTATTCACGATAGTCGAACAAGGATATGTTAAGGTGAAACAGCATGTGCTGAGGACAGATAATAAGCTCAGACGCTTCAGCATGTGCTGAGGACAGGTACTAAACTCAGACGCTTCAGCTTGTTCTGAGGACAGGTATTAAGCTCAGACGCTTCAGCATGTGCTGAGGACAGGTACTAAGCTCAGACTCTTCAGCATGTGCTGAGGGCAGGTACTAAGCTCAGACGCTTCCTATCGTGATTTATGCATTGTAACATTTGAAACTGCTCAATGGCAAGCCATGGTAAAGAAGACGTAAAAGTGATTGCCGAAAGCATCTTCTAGAATAGCGCGCTGTGCGTTTTTGTCCCTGAAAAATCACCATCAGTTTTTGTCAAGAAATCCTTCAGGAATTCACAAAAAGAGTTGTTCCCGACAAATTATTCTGGCACTTTTCGCGAACGCCAGTTTCAGTGTTTTTCGGTGTTCTTAAAGCTGACTTCTTTTCAAAAGCTTGTGAGTAGTATACGATCCCCTAGGCACGGTTTCTGGGAGGAATGAGTTATTGGCAGGGCCTCGTTTGGCGTCTTTCCGAACGTGACCAACGGCCAGACCACTCTGCGCTCCACCTCTGTGGCGTCTCGGTGACGGGGCAGCGCGGCCGGCACAGTCGCTTTGCAGGCGGTATGACCTCGGCGGCCGGCGGCGAACGGGCCGCGGCACGCCCGGCCGGCCGCCGCGGCCGCCAGGCCGGGATTTCCGGCACACCGAGTCGAGCCTGCAGCTCGGCTTAGCAGCGAGTCCGGGTCGTGCGATACGCCTGTGCCGCTCCGGCCGAGGCTTTGCACATGTCCAATAACACGCCAATCCCAGCAGGCGAAGGCAAACGTCGGTTGATAACCTGACCCTGGCTGACGTGCTTGTCGCACAAATTGTACAAAATTGTGCTGCCTGGACATGCGGAGACAGTGCTGGTTGACCATAAATTATTACTCTTCTAGCGACGTGATAAAAAAGAAAATTGTGCTTACTGTTGTATGGAAACGGTCTCAAGGGTTCCAGAAGTGCAGACACGCGTTTCGTGTCATGATCCGAATCACATATACCACGAGAAGCCCCACATTTTACTGACTCAGTAAGGGGTAGTCAAACAAGCGTAAGGGCAACGAAACTGCATGTAGTGCGCCACTGCTCGGCCCGAATTCCGTCGGCTTCAGCAGTATGCCCGAATTTGAGGGTGAGCTGTTTCGATTGGGTGGCAGACTGGGGGGGGGGGGGGGACGAGGTAGCTGTCGGGCGGAGCAGAATCCGTCGAACAGCCGGTCCTGTTACGTCGCGTCTCGCCAGTGCCGACAAAGGCGGGGCTGTCCGGCCCCATAACTGTCGCGTTGTGAATAAGCCAGCTGAGAGGCCCCATCAGCCGGAGCTCCCCAAAGCCGGCTATTTCCCAGCGAGAAAGCGCCCGGACGGTCGCTGCGAGTGACACGTTAACTGGGAATCGTTCCGACGGAACAGGGGGGAAACCGCGCAGCGAGAAAGCGTCCGCCGCCGCCGCCAGATGAAGATCTGTGCGCGCGGCGCCTGGCCTCCGCGGCGGCGGCCTCGGCTCACTGCCCCGTCCGACTCGCAGCGCTATCCCTCACTGCGCCGTCCGACCCGCAGCGCTACCCCTCAGCAAGCGGAGCGGCGACATCGACTTTAACGAGCGGTTTCACTGGGCGAAGCCGCTGCAGATGAGCGCCGAGTACCGCGCCGCCCTCGTCAAAGGTGAGCTGGTCGGCCACGATGACGAGGCCGGAGCCGACAGCCGGCAGCCGGTCTGGTCCTCGGAACGGTTCCCGGTTCCCCCTTCAGCCGGGGTGGTCCGTGGCATGTGAGATACTCCGATGGCGTGTGGGATACGGAAGTCCGTGAGCAGCCCACGGAGGGCGGGGGACTGATCTTTTGTGGTCAGTTGGTACTCGCGATCTTCATTTGAGCGATGGGAAACGGTGATCCCCTGTGGGTGATGGAGACCGTTGTCGCGGTCGCCCCCAACGCGCTCTCTTTGGCCTTGTCAGCGACTGGGGCGCGCGGCCCCCTATGCTGCAGGGGCTGCCGTGCTGCGGTGCGGGCTAACAGTAAGGTGACGCACTCCGTGACATAATGTGACGCGCCACCCGCCACCGGCAGGTCTTCCGTACCCGATCCTGACCGTGGCCGAGTACCTGAGCACCAACTCGGAGGGCTTCCTCTGGGGGCAAAAGCTGCGGGTGGCCGGATACTACACCCACATCATCATCTGGTAAGTGACACCAGAGCCTGCTCGGTCATCACTTCCGCCGCTGGCTGGGCCGCAGTCATCGTGTGTCACTGCTGAGCCAGCGCCGAGCTTGGTCGCACGCGCCTCCGGACCCCAGATCCTCCAGCCAGCGGCTTCTCGCAGAAAGATGACATTATGTTCGGACTGGACAGCTGAGCGTTACCAGCTGGCGTTGCTGCCAGTCATCCAAACGGGTTAAAAAGCAACGAATTAAATTGCGCTCAACGTTTGTAGTGCGTGATTCTAAGGTCATTTACGGCCCACTATGACATGCGTATTGCAACTTTCCGAGTGGGAGTCCCTTACCGCGCCCACACACGGTCCTGTGACCTGGGATGACCCGAACCGGTCGGCCGTGGCCGACTAGATCCCGCGCGGCGACGGCTCCCCGAGTTTTGCTCCCGCGTCGGCCGAGCCGCCGGCGGCTCGCTCAGCGACCGGCTCGCTAACTGTGACATGGACTGCGGCGATTGAGTGAGGCGGCCACGGGCGCGCCGGCCGGGCCTCCTCTGGCAGCGCAGATCTCATCTAGCCAGATACACGGACGGGGCGCGACACGTTCCATGGTCGGCCCCCCTGCCCCTAGGGTGCCAGGGGAAACGCATTGTACTGTCTGTGGCAAAGATCACTCGGCTGCCGTTCTGACCGTGCGGGGATCGCATTCACCTCGGCGCTGCGTGTTGCGGTATCTGCAACAAACGCCGGGGTGACTGCAGGCGCACGGTCGCGTCTCAGCTTCAGACAAGCTGATCGGGGTCAGCGGCTCGTCTTGTGCCGATGTCACGGGACCACTGCAGCTCAGTTCTGCAGCTCGGCTCACTCATGGTACTCAGCACTTAGGCTAAGGCCAGACCGACTCCCGGAAAGTGGCGCTGCTCGTGTGCCGGTGGGCCGATTAGGCTGCCGCCAACACTGGCTGGCGGCGTTCGCCGGCCGCTGCAGGGTCCGCACTTTGTCCAGGCCAGGAGCGGCCGGCTTTCCTCCAGCCGCGCCACGGTGAAAGCGCCGAGTGAGACGGCCGGCCGCCAGCGCGACAGGCTGGCGTGCGACTTCGGTATCCGCTGGTCACGGCCCCTGACCTGGGGTCACCCCAGCTGTGGTTGCTCGACGTATCCTGCGTCCCCGCCCGCCCTCTGTGGAACCAGCTTTGTCGTCACCTGATCGAGGTGTACGTTTTGACGCTCCAGCGTCCGTAAACTTGATGCAAATCACGGGAATGCAGTTGAAGTCCTTGGATGTAGGACACGTTCTAGGTAGGGTATAACTTCTAAATAATTCGGCATCTTCTTCCACATGTACAAAAACATTACTCAAATCTAAGCATTAAAATGTTGACTCTCATCCAAGCCTTTGGCTGTCTTGCCTGAATGACTTCTTTAGTTTGAGGTCCTGGCTGGGAGCCACACCCCATCCGATCGCCACCACGTCTGGTTCTTACCGCACCTGTGAGCCTCACCTCATCCGATCGCCACCACATCTGGTTCTGACCGCACCATCCCGGCGTGCGGCTCGCTGTGCTGTCTCCGTTCTGCTCGCCCTGCCTGCACCTGGCGGTGCCGGCCACGTGACTGCAGCCGCCGTGCGTTACATGACGTCACGACGGAGCCCTGTGCGCCACGCAAGCTCCACGCATGCGCTGCCGCGATGCGTTGCCGAACCTGACCGGCTCTGGCGACGCAACGGTACACGGTGGTGGCTCTCTACTGTGTGCGGTGTCTCCGCCTGCCGTCATGGTCAATCGGGCCAGTTTTTTGGTGTTTGCGTGTCGCACCGTCCAATGTCACCGGAGGGTCTGTTGGCTGCCGGCTTCCAACGGGACATTGTTTGTGTGCCTATGGTGGACGTCTCAACCGTACCGCCGCCTGCGCTGTCGCAAAAAAAAATCTGCTTGCACGCGCTGTTGTCGGCGCAAAACACGAGCAGCCGTGCACCTTGCCCTCAAGTCCAAACAGACCTCGCCCGCACTACCTCTGAGTGGTGCACCAGACAGGACATTGGCGGACTGACCTGTCCGTATGCGCTTGGTGACGCATCAGAAAGTGTGCCGTATTTCCGCCGTGAGGCCACAGGTGTCCCCACGACATGCCGCTCACGTCAGCAAGCCAGGCGCGTGACGACGCGCTGTATTAACGCATGCTGCACGTGTGGACAGCTGTCGCGGCGCTAGTGTATAAAACAGTACATCGATGTCTGTTATGTAATTCAGACTGCTTTTGAAAAAGTTGAGCATTTGGTTCATTCCTACCCAAAATATGTTGTCTCGAATGGTGGTATCTCTACATCACAGAATGCTGCGGAACGGCCTTTATGCAAGTAGGGAGCAGACACGCGATACGCCGAGCAGGCGGCAGAGCTGCGCCGGGAGAGGTTGCAGCGAGCGTTCAGCGCTGACCCGGACGCTGCGAGCGCAGTGTGCTGACCCCGCGTGCCGTGCGGTCCGTGTGTCCCCCGCCGCCGGCTGCCCGCACGTCTGGGTGATGGCGGCGCCGCAGAGCACGGTGCGTGCACCGCCGCCGCCCGGCCGGCGACGCTTGCGACACAAGAGGCCTGTCACACGAGCCGACTTTGAATGCCGCTGCCGCCACTGACTAGAGGTCTGACCGAGGCCTGGGCGCGACACCGTTTTGTAAGTCAGCTCTTTGGAGAGGGGCAAGTTGTCCGTAAACGCGTCCCTTGGTCTCATCGAAAGGCTGAAGTGGAGATTGCAGAATGGGAGCAGGTGGATGGGAAGCTAGCGTGAGACTGTCAAATAAATCTTTTTTCAGAAACCGTTTCAACCGCATTAGGCAAGCACTCAGTTTTGGGGATGGCCTTGCGCGTGCCGAGAACATGCTTTCATAGCTGGCAGTTAATCATCCAGAGAGTTTTAGTAACGTGCTACAAAATGTTACTTATCCTTGGTCACTTCTTGTCTTCTTCCGGCAAGGAATATATACACACTGCACGGTACTGAAGGCACAGTTACTGAAGACACGGTACTGAGGCACGGTACTGGAAGCACGGTACTGAAGGCACAGTACTGAAGGCACGGTACTGAAGGCACGTCTGAAGGCACAGTACTGAAGACACGGTACTGAGGCACGGACTGAAGCACGGTACTGAAGGCACGGTACTGAACACACGGTACTGAAGGCACGGTACTGAAGGCACGGTACTGAACACACGGTACTGAAGTCCACAAGCGCGCATGGAAGCTGTGCGTCGTCCACAGAGACTGGTGTGAATACCTGCACTGCTCCGTATGGCATTGCCGCCACATGATATAGTTTTGACAGCCCTTACTTTGCCAGTCCTCCAAGCTGAACGAGGTTTCCGAAAAATGAAACACAACGCGCGGATTAAAATTGTTTTGTGCACGTCGTTGGCATTCAAGGCCTGTTTATGCAAGCCTCTTACGTATGGCCCGCGTACGAAGGGTGGCAGGCCATGAAATCCCGACCTATAATTACTGTAAATGAAGCAATATTTGACTCGCTGCACTACCACGACATCGGAAAAAAATTATTAGCCGTAGCCCAAATTTAACAATGCCCCCTCGTTTTGCATTTTTTCTCCAAGCCAGCGATGTCTGCTCGGTAACTGCATGATCTTGACATTGGTGAGACAAAGACGGCAAAGAGAGGCCCACCACTCGGAACAGGTGTTTGGCGGCCGGCCTAGAAGGGCCGACGAATGGGCCCGCCCGAACCGGGAAACCTCCTGCCCCGAGGCGTCCAGCCCGGAAACTTCGGGCGGCCGGCCGGCGGCGCGCGGCCGCAGGCGCCATCGCTGGGTGCGCGGCACAGACCTGGCGAGACGAGGCCATGGGCGCAGACGGGGATGGGGGATGCCGGGGGCAGAGGGATGCCGGGAATGAGGCGGCGTGATGATTGGACGACATTCAGCAGGCGAAATGAAAGAGGGTACGCCAGTGTGCGATTCGGAGCGCAGGGAAATGGTTCGTGGATGATTAAGATTAGTGGTGGAGGAAGCCTTGTGGGCCTTGCAGATGCTGTCCGTGTTGGAGATACCAGGAACTGCGCTGTGCCTGAATCTCACAAATTGCAGCCAACGCGGTCACCATCCAGACGCGACGAAAAGGCCGGTGTTCCGGCAGGCAGAGAACCAACGGGAAGTTGTGGGGTTGCTGATGTTGATGCCACCCCCCATGCGGGTGGTGATCATATTCCTCTGCTTCTGTCGTTCATTGAGCTTTGGGTGTTATTCCAACAATCTTCCTGCTTCCCTTTGTTTTTACTCCCTCCGGCTCTTTTCCCCTTTCTACCATCCCCTGCTCTCCTCTGGTGTCTTCTGTTCCTCTCTTTTGTCTTGGCATGTCTTGTCACCTGGGAATTCCACTATTGCTGCGTGTTATCATAAGCTTATAACTTTCAAGCATCGGACGTGATCCAGAAACGCCACAACGAACCATTGGCTGATACTGGATTAGGTGTCACAGAATGGTAAACGGATGGTATCGACCGAGCATGTCCAGTTTAGAATGTGTAATGGGTGGTAGGCCTCCGGCGAAGTCAGTGAACCTCGGGCCACGGGCCTCCGTAGGTCCGAGGTATACGGAAAACCAGTGGATTGAGTCTGTGTGACGAGAATTTTACAAACGTCTAAGCGCCTGGGGCTTTCCTTTCATGACATGGCCACGTCAATCAGCATTACCCAGCGAAAGGTGAACGCACGCATCCGGGTCTGACTGCAGGACGCTCGCCTGGTACAGACAGGCTGCTGTCGCCCTCAGAGCAGTCCTTTTGACCAGTCTGATTTAGATGATGCGCAGCTGCACAATCACTCACCGAGGTTCCCAGCCTTTGAGGGCGCTCAGGTTTCCCCGTGCGGTAATGACACGGCTCGGTGCCTCTCAGCGGTGCCGTGGCTCTAACTGCCGTCGGTTGCGGCTGATGGCGTGCTGCGCGCTGGCATCCGGCCGCGTACGCAACTGGCCGGCCCCGAGCGTGCACGGACGGCACAATAATGCACCCCGTGCGTGACCTGGACGAGGCTTGGTTTCTCCCCAACGAGGGCCCCGCTCAGCACAGATCTGGCTTCATGTCATGCGCTGCAGCGATTGACCTAATCTCAGAGGGAAGGAAGTGCGTTTTTTTCGCGCGAATCGCGATGGGATAATTTGCAGTTCGTAGCCGCGTGGGACTCTATGAGGGCCGTTAGGATCAGTGCGTAGCCGCGTGAGACTCTCTGAGGGCCGTTAGGATCAGTTCGTAGCCGCGTGGGACTCTCTGAGGGCCGCTAGGATCAGTTCGTAGCCGCGTGGGACTCTCTGAGGGTCGTTAGGATCAGTGCGTAGCCGCGTGGGACTCTATGAGGGCCGTTAGGATTGGTTCTGCCGTACCAAAGAAGTACTCGGGTTCGGGGCTCATGGCCAATATGAAATTTGCTAACTGATTAACTGATGTCTTGTAAATTAGTCCATATCACTTATCGACAGCGTGCCCCCCACCCCGCCCCTGATGTCTCTGCTTTGGGTAGCAATGATGTACCCTCCGCACCCCATTGTCCTGGCGCTATACACGCCCCCGGCGGCTGCCACCTGGCCAACACCGGCGGCAGGCGGGCAGGCAGCTTCACCGGTCAGGCTGGTGGCGCCGGAATGTGTGTCCATGCATCCGTCGGCCTTGAGAAGCATGCAGGCAACCGCGGACCGTGCGTGACTCAGCCAGTGACCTCCATTTGAGTAAAGGCTCCAAAATGTGTGAGACAGCTCTGAATGTCTGCTCCTTGCTGCGCATGACTGTCATGATCGTACAAGCTGCCGGTACTTAGACGTCTGCATACCCTTACTTTATCTTTCCGTCAAATGTACGGTTTTCACCGCGGCTGCTTGCAGGGCTTGACAACATTGTCCTTGCGGCCCGCGAACCGAGGAAAGATCCGTATTGATCGTTGCCATGAGGGCGCGCTGGTGAAACTTTAGGCGTTTAAAAATGCTTTGGAGAGGGAGGTTGTTTCGTTCTGATTTGTTCCGTTAAGGTAAGCTTGTGTTCCAGGCAATTTCAGCTTTATTCTTTCTGCTGATAAAGTGAGAACTTCCTGTTAAGTTTTCCTAACATTAGCACTTGCCGAGAAGCAATGGTGGGAACCGTCCACAATCCCCATGTGTTCTGCATAGCGGTTTGTTAAGACCCCCAAAAACATTTCACCACATTTTGCGTAATAATTCCTCTGGAAACATAAGATATGCATTTGGCCGGACTGAGTCGCACAGGCAACGGCTGTTGAATACACTGTTCAAGAGTGAGTTTGCTTGGTGACTTGGATGGCTTGTAGATGCTTTCCGCTGATGAGATGCTGGTTCCCCGGACGTAAGCTTGAGCCACCTGTCCATACAGCCTGGACCCCGTAAGCTTGAGCCACCTGTCTATACGGGCTGGACCCCGTGCATTCCTTTATCGGTGTTGAGTCGTCCCCCGGAGTAGGGTATGACTGGAACCTTTCATGCTGCAATCGGCTGGAATTTCGTTCGCGGTTCCCAAGCCCCGTCCAACAGTTTTCTGTGCTGCCCCGTTGCGAGCCGCCGCCCTCACCGTTCCGGTCCCGTCTTTCAGGACGGCGTTCGCCTCCTGGCTACTGATGAACCTGCTGCTAATCAACGTGCCCCGCTACGGCGCCTACATGATGGTGATCACGGGCGGTCTGATGTGCTCTGCTTGCGGCCTCTACACCGCCCTCAAGCCGAGCCGGCCGCTGGCCATCCGGTTCGAGGACGCCGTGCTGGACATGTCGCTCGGCTGGCAGTTCTACCTGGTGCTGCTGGCAGGTGTGTGGGAGCCTGGCCGAACTCAGCCCGCCGGCTGGTGGTGTCGGCCGAAGGCGCGCCAGCCCGCCCGCCTCACGCCTGTTCTACGTCTGAATAAAGGCACGAGCTTCTTTTCGCATTCGATCTTATCGTGTGTATATTACTTTCACCACGCTTGACAGGGTGTGATGTTGTTCTTTCCGCAGGGGTCATTTGCATGCTGGTGGGATTGTCGGCGGCACTGGTTGACCTGGTGTACCCGCACACCTTCTCAACCATTCTCGAGGTCGATTTCGGCACGCCGTATGACCGGCACATTCTCATCGTCGAGTCGGATGAGTCCCGCAAACGGCGCACGATCAAGATCCCCAAGCTGGAGGAGCCCATAACCGCTGGAATCGAGGCCACGACGAAATTGATCCGGTAAGACTCAGCACCTTATCTAAATGCTGTCAGCGTCAAGGTCAGTTGGCTTGCCGCCAGGCAAATCTTTACCAATTTGCACAGCTTGCTGCTGCTGTAGCGGACCTAATGTGGACGATTTTTCCTTGTTCGCGGCGCCCTGGAACAAATTTTGCAGGCAATGAGGGTCTGTTCTCACGGTGCTCCTGGATTTCAGACGTCTTTCAAAGCGGGGCAAGGATGGAAGCAGCACCGACCCTCGCGGAGGCGTCGACAATGTCGCCTTCGAGATGGACCCTCCGAAAACCCCATTGCACGCCAAGCTCAGCAAACGTAACGACTCGAAGAAGTCCAACAAGTCATTCAGCTTCAAGCGTAACGCCCATCACCTGGAGGTGCCGCAGGCCAGCTTCGACATGCCGGGAGCGACCGCCAAAAACCCTTTGGAGCGCACCGACTCCAAGGCGTCAAACGCCTCGTCCATGTCGACGAGCTCTTACCCGCGTACGTCACTGCCGGACGGCGAGCACCCGACATTTCAAGAGCAGTTTAAGCGGATTCGGCACCCGGAGACGCGGCGTGACTCGGCGCAGTCGAGCACGTCCAGCGTGTCGTCGGGCTGCGGTGCGTCGGGCCTGTCGCGCGCCGGCTCGTCACGTGGCAGCAGTCACCTGCTCGCCGTGCCAGTCGAGAGCTGCCCGTCGGGTGGCAGCTCGCTGCACCCGCCGCTCGAGAAGCGAGACTCGCGCACCTCCAACATCATCGTCTTCCACACACAGGACGCGCGCGGCCAGCTGACCAGGTGAGCGGCGCTGATGGACGCCTTGCGAGCGATCGCTCGGGTCTGGTTCGGTCAGCTGGCTCGGACTGTTCTGCGCAGGGGTCGTGGTCGTGGGGCCTCCGATTTGACACGGCTGGCTGTTGTCAGCGACCGTCTGCTCCCTTCCCCGCCTCGGCTAACCATGCGTGCGTGAGTAATCCCTTGATAGAATGTCTTCTGTCGGCGACCGTCTCCTCCCTTCCCCGCTTTGGCTAACCGTGCGTGCGTGAGTAATCCCATGATAGAATGTCTTGTCAGCGACCGTCTCCTTCCTTCCCGGCCTTGGCTAACCATGCGTGCGTGGGTAATCCCTTGACAGAATGTCTTCTGTCGGCGACCGTTTCCTCCCTTCCCCACCTTGGCTAACCTGCCTTGCGTGCGTGAGTAATCTGGCGTCGAAACTGCAACATTAAAACCGTGGAGCCTGTGAGAATGGCATGTTAAACCTATTCGCAGAGTAATTTAGAGACTACCAGAGCGAATTGGTGACGGATCAGCCAGCTGTCGGTTTTTGTTCTCGGTGAAAAGCGTTCAAACGACACTCTGTGTAACGCTGTCATAAATCCCATGCAGGCCCCCACGTGCTGCAACAGTGCACGTACCCCTGGTATGTCATTCGAACGGCTTACATCTGTACCGGAACTAGTCTTCGCCTCCCACTGGGCTATGTATCCTTGCTCAGTGCCAGCCTGCCCGGGAAGTGCTCAAACAGCGAAGATTCCGGTTGTCAGGCGTCCCACTTGTGCAAGCCGCTGCAAGCCCTGGTGCAACGACCGCCGTTCGTGACCGCGCCGCAGATTGCGGGCTCGCAGCTCGGACTTTGAACGCGGCTCTCGGCGCGTCTGTCGACCCGCTGGTTGTCGGAGGCCGTCTGTGCGCCTGGTTTCCCCGCTAATGCGGCCGCTCCGCTGTTCCAGACGCCAATCCACCGACCCGGTTCCCATGGAGCCGTAGAGGACGTCACACCGACGCCCCGTCCGCCCAGTCTTCAGGAGGCATTACGTACCAGCGTAGAAAATAGTGATGTGATATAGTGATATTAATGTGATCGTAGCGGACGGCGCGCCCAACGGTGTTACGTTGGCGGAGGCGGAGGCGGCCGGTGGTGTCATGTCAGCGGAGGCAGAGGCTGGTGTCATGTCAGCGGAGGCAGAGGCTGGTGTCATGTCAGCGGAGGCAGAGGCTGGTGTCATGTCAGCGGAGGCAGAGGCTGGTGTCATGTCAGCGGAGGCAGAGGCTGGTGTCATGTCAGCGGAGGCAGAGGCTGGTGTCATGTCAGCGGAGGCAGAGGCTGGTGTCGGGCTGCGGCACCCGGTGTTGTCTTGGGGCACGGCTGACGGCCTGCGCCCGCTGCTCTCACGAGAGCGCACCCGAAGCACCGCCGCCGCTCGGTCACGCTTCTACGCGAAGGGCTGCCAGGTGGACTGCCAGCCGCTAGTTCCTCCGCACGTGCGTGGGGCTCCCAGGATGCAGACCCGATGTTTTATTGGCGCGACCCTGGCGTCCAGTCTCTAGCGCATAATCGACCTTGGCGTTATGCTGAGAGAGCACGGTATAGCTTTGTGCGTCACTGCCAAGGGCGTCGTCGGGGGCAGGAAGTCTGAGGTCTTGGCAGTTGAAGAGATACGCAAATTTGTGGGTATGCTGTAAGGCCTGCGAAAAGCTGCCTGGCGTGCCTGTTCTGTGTACCACTGCGTGGGGTTAAACGTGGCCACGCCTTCGGTCAAAGCAGTAGTGCATGTTGATGCCATACGGTTAGAGGTCGAGACTGCCCTTAAACCGTTTATTTAACTAATTGTAACCACCTGCGTGACCTCCTGGACTAACGGTTGTGCGCTGTGGGCCTGGACCAAATACACGAATGGCTGGCTATCTGATCTGGCATTTGCGCTGTTCATAGAACTGGTCAAACCATGTCGGACACCGCGCCGTGCTGCATACCCTGGCGTGCCAGGAGTGGGAAACAAACGGCATTCTACTCACACAGGGGACGGCTACCGCCCCAATACGCACGCCCTACCTATTACAGGACGCACTTGGTAAGGCTACACGGCACCGCGCGCGGCTGCCCGGCCTGCGAGCGTGGAGCCGCTCAGGCCGCTGCCGAGGCGGCGCGGGCGACAGCGCACCGCCCGCAGTCGTCGTCTAGCATTGCATGTCGCGGAAAACCGAAATCGGCCGTCAGATCGCCCAAGAAAGCGGCGGCGAAGGCTGGCGCTCAAGGTCCGCCTGACGCGGCGCGGCGGCCGCCGGCGGCGGCGACGGCCAGACGTGAGGCGGCGCACACGGCGCCTGCCCGACCCGAGCACGAAACGGGCGCGGTGCCGCCCCCGCTCCGCCGTCCCACACAGCCGGCCCGGCGTCTGACCTTGAAGACGGGCGGCGGCTTTTCGGAGCAGACCGGCAGCTCCACAGGCGCGGGGCGTCGGGAGTTCATTCCACGAACAAAGGGCCAGTTGCAGAAAATAGGCGGCGTCACGATCTTGACGATGGATCGGTCGCTGCTAGACGTGACTGATGGCTGAGAAGATCACTGACGGCGCCATGGTACCAGCTGATTCGGCGGCATGTTGATCTAGTCTAGACGTGACTGATTGCTGAGAAGACCACTGATGACGCCATAGTACCAGCTGATCACTGACGACGTCATAGTACCTGCTGATTTGGCGGCATGTTGATCTAGTCTTGTAGATGGGAAGATCGTACTTAACGGTTGGCTGATAACATCTGATATTGGAATAAGCAATGTAAGCGCCTGAAAGAGACTGCGACCTGAGGGCAAGAGGAAGAGAGAGGAGGTAAAAAAATGGAGAGGACAAGAGAGATATGCGGAGCGTGTAAGAACCATGTAAAGTAAGATGCTAGCATAGATGCGTAATGTCAAGCGGGCTGTTGGCCAATTTCCTTAAAGTTGGCATGCTGTAACCTCCTCAAGAATGTGTTTACGAATGCTGAGGCTGAATTCCACGACTCCAACGATATATAGAGTACTGCAATGACTCGCATTAAAGGCAATGCATCACGCGTATGAGGCCCGGCATGTCCGACGCCTTGTGGATGCGAGAATGCAGCTCACTGTCATGAAGAATGTGCATTTATTATAATAGCAAACCTAATAATAATTCGTCAGAATTATTAACGAATGCTGAAACTGAATTCCGCGACCACAGCGATACCTAGAGGGCCGCAATGACTCGCATTTAAGACGATACATCAGGTATATGAAGCGTGGCGTGTCCGATGCCCTTTGGATGCAAGAATTCAGCGCACTGTCATTGACAAACACAATGTGTCAGACAGACGGACAGACAGACAGACAGACAGACAGACAGCAGACAGACAGACAGACAGACAGACAGACAGACAGACAGGCCGACAGGCGACAGACAGACAGACAGACAGACAGACAGACAGACAGACAGACGACAGACAGACAGACGACAGACAAGAAAGAGACAGAGGTAGAGACAAAGATTGAGAGTCTATCAGAATGTTGCATTTCCATTTCGAAATTAGTTTTGATATTGAGCGGATGACAGTGCTGCATCATATTGTGATGTGTCGCATCACGGTGTCATATCATTCAGACTGGCGTTGACTCCAAGAAGGGGGTGAAGCCAAGAGGGTTGGGGTGGGGAAGACCTGCCTCTCTCTTAGCCTCAAATTTACCGTTTTCGCCAAAGATGGACTCCCAAAAAAAGTTAAAAATCGGCATAAACGGTAATAGCCACCCCTCCCCTTAAGAAAACACTGGTTGTGCCATTGCCAAGAAGTCACTGGTGAGGAATTGTTGTTCTATTGAGAGGACAGTGTCACCGGAGGTGGAGGAGGACGGGGGAAAGGGAAGGACACTTTCCCCTCCATCGTGGATGGAAGGGAACAGTTCTCCTAGCCTACCAATGTTCTTGCAGGAAAAAGTATATTATTCGTACAGATTGATGACATTTGGGCTTAGGAACGCCTCGACTGCCTTGGTTATTTTGCGCCTTTAGCTGTGTTAAGTATTACTCGTATGACTATCACTGCATGTAGAGAATGCGCATGCACATCACGCAGTAAGTGTAGCAAATCATCACAGATAGATTCTTCAGTGCGTGGAATTTCCAGTGTCACTGCCGAGGGCTACCAAACTGACGAGAACCAATATGATTCTGAAACAATTTTCCTTCATTAACTCTATCGCACACTTCCCGTCAGCGATCGGGCTCCCACCAACGAGCGAGCGTAGCTCCAGTCTGCGCCGCGTGCCAAAGCAACGTTGGCGCTTGGCTGCGGTCTGGCACACTGGACAAGTGTGTGGGCAACTGATAGCGGGTGATCGTAACGAGGGCGCGTTGGCCCCTGACCTCCAGACAGGAGAAAATCGTGCGTTCCGTAGGTATGACCGATACGGAGACAACAAAGGCTGAATTCCTCTCTTCTGTTATCCCGGTGAGAGGAAGCCCACTCGCCCACCTTGTAACAGTCGCCCACGTCGTGAAGCCCAGTCGCCCACCCTGTCACAGTCGCCCACGTCGTGAAGCCCACTCGCCCACCCTGTCACAGTCACCCACGTCGTGAAGCCCAGTCGCCTACCCTGTCACAGTCGCCCACGTCGTGAAGCCTGGTCGCCCACCCTGTCACAGTCGCCCACGTCGTGAAGCCTGGTCGCCCATCCTGTCACAGTCACCCACCTCGTGCAGCCCAGTCGCCCATCTCGCCCACACTTGAATGCACGGAATTCATTTCTGGCATTCCCCTGTGAGTAAACGCTAACCTGGTCCAAAAATGTTTGCCAGTTACCCTTCAGACAAGCAGACAGCAGCGGCTTGAAGCCTGAGAGCGGCGCTCCAGCGTAACGGGGGCGAGGGCGCTCTCCACTCGCCTTGCAGCTGCATAGGCCTTCCGATTTCCAGCCATCCCGGTGTGACGGTGCAAGCAGGCAAAGACCGCGCCCTTTCCATCACGTTGAAGAGCAGCCACTCGCCGTAAGACTCGGTCTTACTCGCACAGATCTTCACTATGAGACCCATATTTCCATTGTTTACCACCATACTGAAGCTCCCTGACATCGGTAGGTCTACATTGCTACTGATACTAGTACGATGCTACAAATACCGACTCAAGACTATCTCACGACTCTAAAAGACTCCAAAGTATTCCAAAAGACTGCTCTGCGTACTGTGTACAGACTCCAAAAGACCGCTCAGCAATGTTCCCATCTACTGACCGAGTGCATCTAATGTCTTCCGGCCCAGAATTAAACCAGATTAGGAGGTGACTGGCTAATCATGCGTCTGAAACCTGTGCATCTTGGACACTTTAAGAGGGTAAGCTCAAGACGGTTATTTCGCTGTAACATGCGCACCACCATACAACATCCCTAATTCTCAAGGTACCACTGCTATTTTCGTACGCTCTCCATCAATGACCACCACGTGTTATTATGTTTTCACCGTCTTGTTTTTGCAGTAGCTTTGGAATGCAAGTAGATACGGTCCTACAGCATCGCGTATCTTTGTTGTTCATTGCGCGTCCGGAAGCATGTTGTGTATAGGTGCCCTGCATTATAGCGCCGTTACATAATATTTTCTTTATCAATTGCCGGTCTCCAGGGACCAAGAATGGTGGTCTGTGGAAAAATCTGATGAGTTTTGCTGCTATAACAATATTTTAATGCAGCACCACAACATATTTAAACAATCGCCTTTTCACAAGTTTGGTGTGAATAATCGATTTTAAATGAAGGCACGGTCTCAGCTGGGCTCGGTATGGGATGAAAGTCCGTCGCTCAAGGGGGGACAGAGCTACCACAACATTTGTATTGTTTTTCGTTTTGTACTCGACGAAAATTTCGAATGTCCAGGCGAGTTAGTTTGCTCGCCGAGGTCAGTCTGAGGTCAAAGTCTAAAGATTGCAAACCTCATAACATGTTTAGGTATGGAGAGATTTGTGAATATTGCAGAAGCGTCTGGTGACGTGTTGCATGTGCATCTACTGGCTTTTGATCATACAGCGCTTTATGACCATATGTTTTCAATCCGAATGGCTTTCAGCCAGTGTTCCGGTGGCGGCTGGCCTGACTGGCCTGACCTGAACCAACGTGAGAGCATGTATTGCCACTAAGTGACTGGGGCCGAGTTTTGTGTGTCACTGTCAATCAAGCACATTCGAAATACTCTATATTTCTCTCGATTCCCACAACTTCTTTAACAGAGTAATTTGCGGTCGTTAAATGAATAAATTCAGATACAATAAGAGTTATTAGCTAATCGATAATTAACGTAGAAGGGTAGCCTATGTCAATAACCTGACCTAGTATGACCTTTACAATTGCGGACGATGTGCAAACAAACAAATCAGGAAATTGTGGAACTCAGCCAGGGCTGGGGCCAAGGGGAACATGGCCCGCTGAGAGCATGATCCCGCGGAAAATTAACGCTAGACATTGGGCGATTTCGTTGGAATGTGGCCAAAAACTCGCATGATTTCGGAAGAACATTTGGCATTTGGACCCGTGAGGAAGATTTTGGCTACGTGTCTAAAAATGTCATGGGAACTATGTTGTTCGAGTTATATGAAACGCTAGAATTTGTTGTATGTTTCGCAACGGTCCCTCACCGAGTGGGCACGGATCTTTAGCCCGTACTACACATGAAAACATACAACTTGATATTGGTTTTGTTTTCAGTCCATTGCGTTGTAATATGTCACTCATGTAAGCTGAAGTGGCTCCATTTAATTCATCTCTTCTTTCTTTTCAAGCCCTTAGCATTCTTATTATAAGTCGCGCAGAAGCTGCGTATGCCAGCCCTGCGGAGACGACCAGGGGCAGCATCAACAGACGGTCAAGGGAAACCGCCCGTTTGCCAATCCTGCGGAGACGACCAGGGGCAGCATCAACAGACGGTCGAGGGGAAACCGTCCTTTTTCCATTTGTGAAAGGGGCAAGTACAGCCCCCCCCCCCCCCCCGCTTTGCCCTCGGCAAAGTAAGAAACAACGCACTGGAATTTGTAGCTCGTCCGTGAAGTCGTCAAGCTTGATTGTTTTCCCATGCTTGAGGATCTGCCGGCCAGTTCAGCCACAGCTGAATGCAATTTCAGCGTGCGACAGGGGCTGAAAACTTGCTTTGATTTACGATGACGCAGAGGAGGGTCAACGCAGCAGCAGTGTGCTACGTGTTCGCATTAGCTTGGATAAACACGTGCCCGGGTGGCTCGTTGGATACCTTTCGCTCAGGTGGGGGAGGTCAATTTGCCCCCCCCCCCCGTGAGATCTCAGGAACTAAGAGAACTAGAGACACCAAATTCATAGAGTGTGTTGACCTGCACGTGAACTCTCTCAGGTCAAAGTTTGAGGTTCCTAGATTATCATCTTCGGGTCAAATAAGGTCAAACAAGGTAAAATTTCAGATTGGTCTCCAAAGTACCCCTAGAACCTAGGCAACAGTTCTAAGCAAAATTTCACACGTTCAGTTAAGGTCAGTGACCTTGTTCCATCTTTGATAACCCCAGCTCATGATGTAGTCACTTTTGTCAGTCGAAAGACATTTCGTAAGAGAACGTTTAGTTGCGCTTAGGGCCGCACCATAAACGGTGATGGTGCATACCTGTAAGTAGTATGTGAACTCTGTGATCCTCAATCAGCGTGTCATTATTATCGTCATCGTAATTAATAACCTCGTTTTCTCTCTGTTCTTATGTTTCCATATGCAAGCCAGTCACTTCTGGAATCGGACGCCCAAAGCCAAAGTGCAGCTGCGAGGTGAAAATGCATGAAAAAACACTCTGCAAAGCTTTTGCCACCACACAGACACACGTTTATACACTGATACATGATATGGCCAATTGGTCTGGATGATTGATGACTTTCTCGTTGACCATTTTTGTTCAGTCACCGCAACGCCTTAACGACCTGAACCCTCACCATCTGTAAAAACTTGGTGGCGCCGCCCCTAGCCATTGGCAACAATCTCACCTCCCATTCCTTCTGTGAACATCATGAAGACATCAGTTGGTTTAATTTTCAAAGACTGTCTGTGGTATGGATAATGTGGTGATGCAGTCTGGAGGCATACGCAGATTTCATGATAAATGCACGGCTAAAAAGCCCCAAATTTCTAGCCTGACCTACAACAGCATCGCAATAGACCGACTTGTATGCGCCCACCTGCCATTTTATTGGTCGACACCTAATCACGTGCATACTTCTACATGCCACATTTTTCAGGGAGTCGTGTTCCCCTGAGGGTACTATGTGCGTCTGCTCCCGCCCCTGCTGCAGTCCTCCGGTTGGGAAGGGATCGCAGCGTCTCACGTAGATGACGACTGAGTGGCGATATTTTCGCCATCTATATAGCATACCTTAGGTGTTGTAGCGCCATCTGTTATGCGGTGTGTTTCCTCAGTGGGTCGGGAACGCTGGTCTGGAGCCACAGCTTTCTGAACGGTGCATGAGGCATCCAAGGCTTCAGGCGCCCGCTCCAGTGAATCAGCTTGCTGCCACGCACGAACTCCTCAGAGAACGAAGCACTTTCGTGCAATCCTGAGGTCAGACGAGTTAAGCTCACCCACAAAAATACAGCAGCAAAACACCAGTATTAGCAATACGGTGCACGAACAGTATAAGGATTGTTAGGGAGCTATTCCCCCATGAATTCTCTTTTTTACCGCTGAAAACAGTTACTTTTTCACGGGTGATAGCTTTGATAAGATCAGATCATACAGTAAAACAGACCTCTGCATGTATCTGATATTGACGGGGAGACGCAGAATGTGGAGGGACTGACCGAGGCCTTTCAGGTGCCATCCGGGGGGCAGAGGTGACACTCGGCCGTAGAACACCAGGAGCATGGCGGCGTGCGTGGCTGTGGCACCGGCCGCCGGACCGTATATGGGCTGTCTGCATGATTGGCAGCATTAGTTACCTAAGACAACTGCGACGCGGTGTAACTAGGTACAACATCACAAAAAGCAAAGAAATATTTGCCAGTAGTGCTTTAAAATCATAGATAATCAAAGGCTTATGTTCATCATGCCTTCTGCCACACCTGAACAGAAGACATACCGGCCCCTCTACGTTGGATCATGAACGAATGATTAACGCATGGCAGTGTGAATAAGAGATTGCATGTCCTGGAGAACATTACAGACATTTCTCTTTTTAGATGCTCTAGCCTGTCCCTTACGCGTATAGGCATATGATTCACTTTCGTATGGAGACACGAAATGCCACCTAAACAGCAAAACGGATCAAGATGCTCAATATTGGTAAAAGTGGAATGGCAATGAGATAAGCATGTCAATACACCTTATCTATTATAGGAAGGTTGTAAAGCCTAAAGTAAGTTCACACCTCTGCTAGTCTAACGGATCCTAAAACGGTGTTTACGTCGTGAACCACCCCTAGTACTTGTCGTTTTTTACCGGAAATTCATACTTGCCCCTCACACCAAACTTGGCGACGCCAATCATTTGAGCGCTGCTCGGGCCGCTCCCGGTCCACCACCACCAAAGCAGCCGTATTTACCTTCTGTTGATTTTCAGCCAGGCGACGAGCTGTCGATGGGCGTGCATGGCGCGCCAGTACGCGATGTCGGCGACGAATGCGGCGCCGCTGAACGTGCTGCGCCAGCCCTTCACCTTTCGGCGGCGCACAAAGCTGGCAACCCGAGGTCGGGTCACGGGTCACAGGTTACAGGTCACGCGTGATAGGTCACGGGTGATAATTAACGGGTCACAGGTCAAGTACCACAGGTCACAGGTCGCGGATCACAGGTCATGTGGCATAGGTCACAGGTCACGGGTAATGGGACACGCCGTCAAACGACAATCAATGCTGCTGTTCGGGGGGCCGCGTGGTTTAAAGGGCAGTCGTCACATACTCAGCACGAACCTCGCGCTGCCTCGCTGCCTCACGAACCTCGCGAAAATCGCGCACTCACGCGCGAGCGCGCGCGCCAGCATGCATGTTGCACGCACGCGTGCGCACCCACTCACTGACATTCACACCCGCAAACATACTCATACCCACACAGCCAACTATATCCACACCCACACAGTGGCGCAGGCAGGGGGCCCATGGGGCACGTCCCCCCCCCCCTTCGGGTCCTTCGGGACCCACGATGAAGGACCCGATTCGAGGGCCCGAAAGGCCAGCCGGAGACCGCATTTAGGGCACTGCAATGCCAGTCAGACGCTTCTGCGCACTGGATCAGGAGGCCCTGAGTCGATAAGGGCCGATGTGTCGGTCGGACGCCATCAGCAGCTCACAGTCAGCGTCGCGTCGGCATGAGCCCGAAGGTCGATGTCCCAGGCAGGGACAAAGCCGGAGCCAGCGATTTCCATCGGGCGGAGCCCCACTTCTGGTAAAGTTTCTGAGCTTTATCGGTTTAGAAAAGGTCCAATGGATCATTTCAAAAAGGAACAGCGCTGACCATTCAATCAGTGCAATCGTGTAGCGTATGATTTCTTCAATCGATTTGTCACAAAGTTTAGGCCAAATTGATAGCACGGTAGCTTCTGGCTTCTATTCAAGTAAAAAAAGAAAAATGAAAACAACAATAAAGAAAAACATGTCATCATTAACACATGGCCATCTTCACGGATTTGTTGAGTGTCTCTTTCACTACCTGGGGACTCCTTGTGAACGCTGTGCCCCCTATTGCCAAGGCCCTGGCTGCCCCCTGCACTCACATAAACAACCACACAAACACCTCATACAAAAACTCACAACCACGTCCACATGCACACGCACATCCACATGCACATCCGCACCGGTATCAACACCCCTAACACTTGCACGTACACGCACACAGAGACACGCGCACACATGTACGTACGCACGCACACGCGCACGCGCGCACGCACGCACGCACGCACGCACACGCACACACACACACACACACACAGAGACAGAGACAGAAAGAGAGGGAGAGAGAGAGAAAGAGAGAGATGGAGAGAGAGAGATAGGAAGATAGAGAGAAAGAGAGAGAGAGAGAGAGAGGACGAGAGAGAGAGAGAGAGAGAGAGAGAGGGAGAGAGAGAGAGAGAGAGAGAGAGAGAGAGAGAGATGAGAGAGAGAGAGAGGAGAGAGAGAGAGAGAGAGAGAGAGAGAGAGAGAGAGAGAGAGAGAGAGAGAGAGAGAGAGACAGAGAGAGACAGAGAGAGAGAGAAAGAGATAGAGATGGGTTGTTTCTAATCCAACCTTTGGTTAGGGAACAACGGTTTGTGAAAAAATGATAGTTACCCGTCCTCTTTATGCGAAAGAATGACAAAATGTGAGGGGTCCGTAGAAGCGGTAATGATACACCGTGTTGTGACCATTCCCTATTCCGCTCTATTCTGTATTGTGTCCGTGGTGGGCGGGCCAGTGCTGATGGAGCCACACTCGATGTACTGCGGCGCCGAGCTATCTTTTACTATCTATTCGCCAGAGTGTATGCAGTTGGGGCCTTTCCAATAAATTAAGAAAACGGCTTCAAACCGGTATTTCACAGGTCATGCCCCCAAGCTGTTTTCAGCAAAACGTAGCATTTTTGTATTTGTTTTGTTTAATTCTGGGAGGCGCAAAACATTCTGAAGTTTGTCTCCAAATCATCCCAGGAGTGATATTCCCGCGGCGATTTTTGACCGTGAACGCCGTTTATTTGCCGTCATTTGCAATAGATGCAGTCATTTGCAATTTGCAATACAATAACGCATTGGCTTTTCAAGATCAGATTCGCGATGCGTTGTATTTCAGTTACGCACTGAGAACATGTAAGGATATACCATAAACAGAACATAATTTGAGGATTTTTCGCGATGTTATATTTGCTCGGTATGCACATCCAGCGCACGTTGGTAGATGATGATACGCTGGTTTATAGTCAAAGAAACATGGGCAGCTGTTCCGGCAAGACAGATAAGAGGGAGATCGTGCAGGTGGGAAGGGAAAGGACACCTGTGCAGTCGTCGTAAGTGGCACGAAACGTTAATTATTACCACTGTTAATGGTTGAATTAACTAGTTATGGCCCCATACAGATTCTACGAGGTTTCATAAATCCGCAATAACCCTGAATTGGTGATGGTAATTTTAGCGCAAGTAAAGTGAAGCAATTTAGAAGTAAGCGCAATTTGATTCCTGGGATATAAATTACGGTTATATGAGGCATAGCAGCAAGAACTCTGGCATGCAGAAACGCGCCATGATTTGGAAGCAAAATTGACTCGCGGCAGGAAAACGTGCACTTAGGGAGGTAAAGCGACAACGCTTAGTCCTGGCAGTCGACGTCGGACCGTGCATGCGATAAGATAATGCAAGCACACGAAGCATTCCAACGCGCGAATATTAGCATGCACTCTGGCATTCTGTACGTCGTCTGCAGTAATTTCATCATGTTCAAGGTGACAGCAATGGACTAAAATAGAATACAGCGCTGTTTCCAAAACCAGACATGCATGCAACTGCATTACGCGTGCATGCCAAATAAAGCTGCTCGTTTTTATCTGGAATACCCACGTCCACCCCGCACCCATTTTTGAAGGTTTGCATCCGCCCCACAAAACAGGTGTCCCAAAAAACCCTACATTGTCCAGCCAACATTGTGTTTTTTTCATTCAAGGTACACTCGCCCAACGTCATAATATTTCACTGCCAAAATAAGAAGCTGTAAGTCACGTTAAATCATGTTCGTCCCTTCTTTCATGTCGTCATTGCTAACGGCAAGAGATCTTCTATCAATTCCATAGAACTCATATTTGGTATTCATCCTATGTGTTCGTTACATCTCAAACGAAAAGGGTGCATGGATTTCCTGACGAAGACTATGTCTCTCCCATGTTTTTCACACAGTTTTTTTTTGTGGCTGCAAGGCACATTGTATGGTGTTAAAAATAACATGGGGAATACCTCTTTCGATGGTCATTTTTGACAAAACACGCTCGGGCTGAAATCCAGGGAGGTATGGACCCTATACCACTTTTAAAGCTAGCAGTCATCTGCAGAGTACGGGACCATTCAGATGAGAAAACGAGTGAATCTATTCTTATAAAAGGTCGGCGATCAGACCTTAACGTACAGGGCTCATTGTGGCCGATTATGCGAATGCGCTAAATGCATTGCTGTGTGATGCCTGGTAACTTAAAATCGTTGACATGTATGAGTGATGTCTGACGCGAGATGCGCGATAACTGTTTCATTAAAGTAGTTCGTATGCATAATTTATGCGTGATTTGTGATCCCCGTTTACTTCAAATCGCTTGCATGTTCTAAAGAAGCGTGTGGTGTGATGCCTGTTAACATAAATTCATTTGCATGTGCACGTATTTTTCGTGTCTTCTAGCTCATAGTTATGCGCTGTATCGTAGTAATGGCTTGCAATTGCCCCTTGTTTAATCCCCAAATATTGGTGACCTGTAAAAACTGTGGCTTGTTGTTTCAAAAAAGCTGAAAAATCAAGTAGGATTGGCAGGCAAGTTTGAAGTTACTAGACATATTAATTTCAATGAAAACATGTTACAGAAATTTTAGTACACTTATCTCTCATTCTCCCGGTTTTTCTTCGAAGAGTAGGGCTATGACTAACGCCTTAGCTTAGCATTAAACGGAATTATTAAATTATACGCGTTTCAAGATATGGGACTAGGATTCATTTTGGGGAGACTGATCAAGAATCAACATACGCGATCAGCTTGGTCCCAGGTATAAATTATCTTTGCTGAGGACAAAATGCTCTTGGGTCCTTCAAAAGGCTCTTCAAAAGAAACCAGCAGTCTATATCCTGAGATGCAATAAATAAAACAGCTCCAACCAGTATAAGAATGCAAATATCAAGGCTGAATGCGATGCATTATATCCAACTAGCTATCTATGATCTATGCGTGGTACATACATTTGGAACTGCAAATTTCTCCACTAAAGCCAGCTGCAATTATCTCTTCTAGACAAAATGACGCTTAATCTGCGAGCCCCCCCCCCCCCCTCCCTAACCCTTAATAGCAAAAACCCCTCTAATCTTCGTCTTGTAGAAGAATACGACCTTTTTCACGACCACGTAAGTAGGTCATGAAAGGCCATCTTGCGCATCCGAGCCTCTCGAACAGCTAACGACTAACCTTCAGCGCCGATTTCGTCCTTGAATGCGCTTAGTTTGAAACTTTGCTTGGAACACTGAGATCGTAAGGAAATCGGAATATTTTGCGATTTTTCTCCTGGCTAAATACCAAATCAAAGTGCGCATATAGCAGAAAGCAATGCTTGTATTGCTATGCAAACTTGCGTAATTTGCAGATGAAGTTTGAGCTGCAGGGAAGTGGAATGCTTTGCTGTTATGCATTTTACTTTTGTATTAGAGTTGTAGTGGAGAGTCATGCTTTCAATCTATTCGAGGCATTGGGTGGTGATCGATATTTGAACATGTCCTGTGTAGTTGCATCCATCAGATGGGCATACAAGACATTGAGTGTTTACATGTGACCTGTGTTCTATGTGGCCTGTGATCTACTTGGCAAATGGTGTGCAAAATCCAGAAGTGTAATTATTTTGTATTAGTTATAGGGTGGGCTGTGGAGGGATAAATGGCTCAACTTAAACTAGCTGAGGGCTGGGGCTGGAACCCACTAACTGAACAGGAAGATGGCATGGCAGAATATGCCACTGATGTGGGGTTATCACAGAATTGCTTTGGTGGTGTTAAGATTTTATCATCTCATTATGAATTGTTAACTGACTGCTCCGACGGACGGTTTAACATTAATTGAGCCATGGTAGTTCATTTTTGAGGCAACAGCATGTCATGGATTATACGTTCATGAAATGGCATCCGTGATATTGCTGTGAATATCCATGACAAAATGCTACTTCTCTATGTTATTATGTACATGAAAACAAGTAACCTCTTCTCCATTGACATTTATCTCCAAGAAATGCTAGCTAATTGTACATAAATTTCGGTTGTGAAAACACAAATGCAAAGATTATATATATATATATATATATATATATATATATATACATAGTATCCGCCAATACCCACGATGTGGTGAGCAATGCCCGCTAAAAGCTGTATGGATTTTTTAAGCCTGCATCTTGCGGGTTTGCGGGCTCAAAAGTGGCAGCACTAACGCCAGCCCAACGACCACATTGCTCTGGCACTGACAGCCGTACCGGTTCATCATGTTGACGTGAAGCGCGTAGAGCGGCTTGTCTGCCGGATCGGCGTGCTTGGACGCCGAGTGGGTGTCGATCAGAAACGCCCCGAACGTGTGCGGCAGCACGGGCACGGCCAGCAGGCCGGCAATGTCCGCTGAAATACGCCGGCACACGTCACTTGAGAGCAGGCCGGCCGACTGCCTGGGCAGCAGAAGCCTCTGACGCCATGCCCTCCACACGCTGCATCACCTGCACGATTTATCATGAGAGCAGGCCGGCCCACTGCCTGGGCAGCAGAAACCTCTGATGCCATGCCCTCCATCCACACGCTGCGCCACCTGCGCGGTGTATCATGAGAGCAGGCCGGCCCACTGCCTGGGCAGCGGAAACCTCTGATGCCATGCCCTCCATCCACACGCTGCGCCACCTGCACGGTGTATCATGAGAGCAGGCCGGCCCACTGCCTGGGCAACAGAAACCTCTGATGCCACTGCCCTTCATCCACACGCTGCGCCAACTGCACGATGTATCATGAGAGCCGGACGTGCGGAGGTGCTTGTACGTCAAATAATGACCAGCACGGCGTCGAGATGGGAAGGTGTGTGGTCGAGCGACGCGAGCGCGGAGCTGCACGCCGCCCAGCTGGAACATTTACAGACTCACAAATCACCTTTGCTGACGTCGCCTTGGGAACGTAAATAACTTTTTGAAAGATAAAACTATTTTTTTATATTTAAATATTATCTTCGTGTAATGTCGTTGCTGAAATCTTCATGAGAAAGACTGGTCTGATTGGTTTACAGGTTGGTGATATTATAAGCGGGGTGATTGTTTACCACACCGTGAACATCCTTATAAGCGGGGTAATTGTTTACCACACCGCGAACATCCTGCAACTGAAAGGTACCACTTCACGGCGCACGCAGGGGCCATCAGAACGCAGTAAATTGATGTTGGCGTTACCGAGATAAAAGACATGAATTATGCAGATCACGCCAGCACAGGGATGATCGCGCAGATTGTCCACAGCCTTCGTGACCGAGCAAGATCGTCGATACACAGTGTCCATGCACAGTGGATTAACTTGGCAACACTGTCAGGGGTGGTAAAAGTGTACTTTTTGTCGCCGACGAAAGTTTTGGAGAAAAATTGTCGCCAGTAGCGTAATGCGATACCATATGACAAAACGGTCATTAAGTACATGCCCAGTAGCGTCATCAGCAGTCAGCCTTTCACCGAAAGTCTCTTTCATCACTGCAATTTTCAACATCATGGACATAACCGAAACGCTCAGTCGTACACTGCCCCTGAACAAATGGCAGGGTAAGTGCTGCTGCTAGGAAAGCAGGCGCACCTGACTTAGATTAAGGACATAGCCCAATCACAACAGGAATTTTCTTCCACTCTCGGAATTTGCCGGGGCCTCACGTTTAACACGCGCTCGTGTGGGGGGTCAAATTTAACCCCCTCCCTGAAGGTTTTTCCAAAATGGTTTCCGAACGGCACGGCGTATCCGGGCCAAATTTTGCATAGCTGTAGATGATTAAATAGCGAATCGTTGGCGTTAAAAATTTAGATGTGCCTTGTAAGATCGCTTACCCTATGGCAGGTCAAAATCAGATCATGGTCTCGGCGAAGGCAATTTCTAGGGCATCCTTCAATCTGACCCAACGAGCGGAGTGTTAGATGAAGCCATACATCTTTGAGATGCTTTCTTAGGCAACACAGCAGTTCAGTGAGCAAATTAAATTGACCTAATGTCAGGTATAAAGGTCACACCAAGGTGAAAAACAACCTATTTTGTTACTCTATTTGTTACTATTTGTTTTTTTTACTTTTTTATTTACTACTCTATTTGTTACTAGTTACTATTTGCTACTCTAGTATATATATATATATATATATATATATATATATATATATATATATATATATAAACAGTAACAAATAGAGTAGTAAATAAAAAAGTAAAAAAAACAAATAGCAACAAATAGAGTAACAAAATAGGTTGTTTTTCACCTTGGTGTGACCTTTATACCTGACATTAGGTCAACTTAATTTGCTCACTGAACTGTTGTGTTGCCTAAGAAAGCATCTCAAAGATGCATGGCTTCATCATTATATATATATATATATATATATATATATATATATATATATATATATATATAGAGAGAGAGAGAGAGAGAGAGAGAGAGAGAGAGAGAGAGAGAGAGAGAGGAGAGAGAGAGAGAGAGAGAGAGAGGAGCGTAGTGTTGTAGTGTGCAGTGTGCAGTGTGAAGTGTGCAGTGTGCAGTGTGCAGTGTGCAGTGTGCAGTGTGTTGTGGTGTGTGTGTGTGTGGGTGTGTGTGTGTGTGTGTGTGTGTGGTGTGTGTGTGTGGTGTGTGTGTGTGGTGTGGTGTGGTGTGTGTGTGTGTGTATGGAAGATACAAAATGCACTGACCTTGAACGATGACGTCATTATTAAGGTAGATAACTTTCCTGTGACTGAGCTGGGCAACAGAATGTCGGCAAGGGAAGACCTAGCAGAGGAGGAGACGTCATGGTCTGTCAGCTTTAGCAGATCCTCGGGGAATACCAGAATCTGGTATCGAAGACGGTCGTTCGGGATCTCTCTGAGCCAAGCTCTGCAACACAGCAAGTTTATTGCGTCGCTGTAAATGACAGGATTGGTTTCTGCATCGGCAACGTGAGCTGGTTGCATGATGACTCTGTAAGGGATAAAAATTCCGGTATGAAGCATCGGTCCCGCGAGTAGTTGCTTGAATATTTGTTTGCGAGGAATAATATGTGACTACTGACAGCATTATAATATCAAGAGCAGCCGGAAAACACATGCAGTCTATCTAACGCATTGCATCGAATATACGAGCTTAGATGCTTGGAACTCACAGAACATGCAGAGCATGCCAACGACAGATCTTCATTAACGATCCATTCACCTCCGAACCAGTAAACGACAGACTTCGGCATGACAATAGCGGTGTCAACCTCCGTCAATGCCTCCCGGCACCCCCGTGTCATCCTTCGCCATGCCGTCGCACCTGAGATGGGCGACGGCTGACTCCGGCACCACCAGGTGGAACCAGACCGAGTGGTTGGTGTGGCGTAGCACCGAGTTCACCGTGGCCACCGTGCCGGCCAGCGAGTCCGTGTCTCCCGGCACCACCACCTCGATGAAGCTGCCTGTCAACACGGCCGGCGTACGAGTCCACTGCGTCGCCCTGTGGCGGTCACCTGGCAGCTCGGCTGCAGTCCGGCTGGCGCCTGAATGGTCCCAGACTCGGAAGGCGCGCTAATACACGCCTTGAGATGTGATGCAAGAGCAAGACTTCGCCACGTTGATGTCATATGCTAAGTGATGATAAGTGATATTTTGCGCTTGCGTGCCACCAAACAAATGGAGGTAAGTGACACAGGCACAAGTGCTGCCTTAGGAGAGAACCTGTACGGCTGTACAGCGCAGGATGGTGGGTAAACAGTTGGCTTCTGTTGATACAGCGACGTTGCCTGAGCTGGCGCCATCAATTACCTGCATCGACCCTCTTGTGTTTGAGCTCCCCGCGTGGGTCATGTACAGCTGGGTTGACATGGCTGTTCTGACGCCCGTGTGATCTGCAATTTGTTTATGCCAACATCATCACACTTTGTCCGTCATTGCAAACACAAATGCTGCTAAGAGTCCTGACATGGTCTTGGGAATCGAATACGATGTCATGAGTAATAGCGGATGCGGTATGAATATAGAACAGGGTAAGTAGCATTTGTGTCCAATCCACCAGCCACAGTCAGTACTTAAGAGGAAGACATCCTTCACACGACGGACAATAGCACAGGCTGGGGCACGTCCCCACCCCTTCCCCCCTTCCCCCTTAGGTTGTGAGGGGCCTTTGGGCACCTCGGGACCCACAATTAAGGGCCCGATTTGAGTGCCCGAAGGGCCCGAAAGGCCGGCCGGAGGTGGTATTCAGGAGCCCACCCGCAGGTCCGGGCACTTCAATGTCATCCAATGTCATCCAGAGGGCTCGTTGATCAGGAGCCCCCTGAATTGGTAAAGGCCTGTATATCGGTCAGACACCACCAATAACCCACAGTCGGCTCCATGTCGGCACGGGCCTAAGGACCCATCGCACAAGCAGGGACATGGCAGGAGCCAGCGATTGACATTGGTAGGGGTTCCAGGGTTTCTGAGTGGAAGCCCACAATGCCTAATAGGGGGCCCTGTGTTGGCAAGGGTTCCGAGTGGACCAGAGGCAGTGTTCAAGGAGGCCTGAACAGCCCGTAGGGCCCGCTGGGTCCGACGATCAGGGGCTCGATCGGAGGGTCTGATAGCACGAATGGCTGGTCTGGGTCTTATTAAAGGGCCCCGGCTTGAGGAGACGGACTCCCAAATGACAGTCAGAGGGCCCTTTGCGCTTACTAGGGACCCCCTGAGTCGATATGGCCCATTTGTCGGTCAGGCATCACCAGTATCGCACAGTCAGCTCCGTGTCAGTATGGGCCTGAGGGGCACTTCTCTACCAGATACAAAGCCGGGGCCAGCGATTTATACTGGTTAGGGTCCCTGTACCTTGTCAGGTGCCAAAGTAACAAAAGAGGGTCCTGTGTCCATAAAGGGCCCCGAGCCGAACAAGGGATGAGGATGAAGAGGGGTCCGGGGTCCGGTTCACGATGTTCGATGAGGCCCGAAGAGGGTCTGGGCGGCCCGGCGACCTGGGGCTCAGCTGGAGGGCATAAGGGCCCGAAGGACTGGATGCAGGTCACATACAGGATCGCGGGCCATGGGGCCGTGATCTGAAATATCAGTCAGAGGTCCTCTTGCACCTTTTGAGGACCCTCCAAGACAATCGGGGGTGTCTCGGTCGGCAGGAGACGACGAACATCGAACAGTTGGTTCCCTCTCAGTCTGAACCCTGGGGCCCCATTTCCCAAGCAGGAGGAGGGCTGTGGGTCACGACTTGCATTAGTCTGGGTCCCTGAAACAATGGTTGGGACCCTTCGTCGGCCAGGCATCCACATTGCCTAACAGGGCGTCATGTGTCGGCCAGTGACCCTGAGTCGGTCACAGGCTTTGTTTCAGGAGGTCCGAAGATGGGCTGAAGGCCCCCTCGGAACGAAAGGTCAAAGGCCTGGTTGGAAGGCTGAGGGGCCCAAAGGACTGGCTGCAGGTCACATTAAGGACCCCCGCCCGTAGAGCCGTGATTTAAAATGACAGTTAAAGGTTTTCTTGTACCGATTTTGGGCCACTGATATACATCGTTCCTTTCTTTTGGCCAGAGATCAGCAACACGGAGCAGTCGGCTCCGTGCCGGTCTGAGCTCTGGCGGCCTATTTCCTAAGCAGGTACAAGGCAGGGCCCGTGATTTGCATTGGTCGAGCCCCTGGAACAATGCAGGGCTCCTCTATCGTTCGGGGGCTCGTTGCCCAACAGGATGTTCAGTGTTAACAAGTAGCCTTGAGTTGGTTAGAAGATCATTTGCCAAACAAGAATGAGGATCTGACCCCGGGTGACAGAGGACCTCCTGCGTTAGTTGGGGCTCTTTGACAATAAAACGAAACATTCTAACTTATGATGAGTGTCCACGATGGGACAATGGAACGGCCCCTTCCCAGTACGGCCCCCAATCTTGAACAGCGTGCCCTCCGACCTAATTCCAGAATGAGCTTGCTAAGCCGAGTCCATGCGCCAATCCTTGAACCACCTGCGGCAATCAGGGATGTTGTTGGGTCAACGAGAATTCTTGTGTCGATCTGAGGCCAACTGTGCGGGTCAGAAGGCCCCCCGCGTCTGGGAAAAGACCCACGTGATGTGATGTATCCCCCTAAGGGCCTCCAGACCGACCAGGAGACCCCGTCCCGTGTCCCCAACATGACAGCCGGAAGACACCCCGCGGTGAAACGGAATAGCCCTCCAGCTCCTGGCCTGAACAAAAATGTGGCGCTAATGTTCCACTCACGACGCCCCTTTGTCCTGAAGGAAACAAGGGGTCTCATTTGTGTGGAATAGAGTGGTTTAAAATGAGTTGAAAAACGAACAAGGCCATCCCATGTTTATCTGACAACAGTCATTCTTTTGCAGAATCGATAGGTGGAACACCTGGCATGAAAAGATTTGAGTCTTTGCGTCCGAAATCTCGAGAGCAAGGACAGCGATGGTCTGAGTTACAGTTTCCGTAAAACCGAAAGACGTTGGCCACTGCAATTAACACCAAAGGGCAGACGCAACGCAGCCTATGAAGCCTGTAAGGCCTGGCGTCGAGGTTTTTGTTACCAAGATTTGCGAGCATGCGAATTCAAAATTAGGCATATAATTAGCATCACTATTCGATTGTGGGTGATGAACATGTCCAGACAAATATGGCTTGGCCAAGTTAATACATGTTGTTCACCCATTTGTATCCACAATTGACATGCGTGGGGTCCCTAATAACTCCGTGAAGACCAGATAAAAATTCTGACGAAGCTTCTTTCTTTAGTTCATTAACCATAAAATTTGGTCAGAATTTATATCGTGGTAGCTTCTGGCTTCTATTCCAGTTATAGAAGCAAAAAAATGGAAGAATATCAATTAGTTGCACGCCTATATTCACAAATGGCCTTCATCCGGCGAATTTTGTTCGGGGCGAAGCCCTTCCACGATCAGGGTGCTTTCTGTCAATTCTGTGTCCCACCCCTTGGCTGGGCTCCGGCTGCGTGCCTGATGACGAGATAACGTCATTTAACGAACAGTTAACCGGAACTTACGTGACGAGATTGCCTCATTTGATATACAACCAATCGGAACTTTAAACAGGTGTTTATGGCTCTCAATCACTCAAAAAAATATTTTTTTTGAGTGATCATTGTCGTGCCTGAGACCCTGAAAACGATTTTGTGACGGAATTACGGGTGATTTTGCAACGAACAGGTTGATATGGAGGAAACACGTGGACACTCTGCTGCCGCTGCGACCCTCACCTCAGGGCGTTGGGCGAGAACAGCTGCACGTGGCGCAAGCCGAACGCGTCCCGCGTCAGCACGAAAATGGCGATGATGCACAGCAGCGAGACCAGTAGCATGTAACCTGCAACGCCAAATCGTGCTCGGCGGGGCCTCGAGACAGCTCGCAGACAGCCTTTGACTATTGCACAATCACAGACTGGTCTGCTCATAGTTGGCTCATGAACTCATACTTCTCAGCCACATTATGCTTTAAACAGCTTACACCAGCTCCTGAACGCCGTCCAATAGCTCCATGGCTTCTACCTGGACCGAACTTACGACTTGGTTCTTGCTTTTTAGTCTGGGCAGTGTATATATATATATATATATATATATATATATATATATATATACCGTGATTTATCTACTTCTCAGCTTACAGCCGTCTAAACTGAGCACGAACCAACAGCAACTTAGTCGATTATAAACACGCTGTGAGTAGGTTGAAACTCAGTCACAACCACCCAGACATTCACATGTAAATGCGCCGTGTGTCTGTCTCAGAGCGCGCCTTAGCGAGTTAACCTATCACATACTGTACACTGTTGATGCGCTTAAGAGGAATATGATGGGCAGTCCCGTATCCATCACGCTTGTCGTTCAGCTCAGGCCGGCCTGCGGGCTACTCAGAAATCAATCGCCGGTGACTTAGCGGCGTGTCACAGACCATGTGACGCTGCTGGCCGAGCTGTGCGATAAGTGACCCTCTTGCCCAACCCGAATACCCACTTAGTGGAGCAGCCATCCGTTGCACGCGACCTTGCCGCAGCCACAGCCGCAGAGATGATCACAACCCCTGGCGCTGACCGGCGCCCCTCTAGACTCCCACCCATTCTCTCACCCACTGTTCTGCCAGAGCCATCACGGAGGCGAAACATGGCCAATCTGGCCTGACGATGTCTTGCGTGACTGCAAAGCACTCCGTCCACCTGCGAGGCGTTTGGTCCGGCTGGGAAGCGCCTGGCACGGTTGCAAAGCGCGTGGTCCGGCTTCGCTGCGCCTGGTCCGGTTTCGGTTCGCCTGGTCCGGCTTCGCTGCGCGTGGTCCGGTTTCGCTGCGCCTGGTCTGGCTTCGCTGCGCCTGTCCCGGCCGTGCTGCGCCTGGTCCGGCTTCGTTGCGCCTGTCCCGGCCGCGCTGCGCCTGTCCCGGCCGCGCTGCGCCTGGTCCGGCTTCGCTGCGCCTGGCCCGGCCCGGTGACGCTTTTGTCCGATTACGGCAGGCACTCGCGTGGCGAGGGAGGGAGACGGGCGACGACTGACTCGCGCACTGCGCCGTTTGGCGGTGGCTCCGGCCGTCAGGACGACGTTAGGGGAGGCCGAGCGCGGCAAGTTCCGGTTTGCAGGAGGTGTTGGTGCCCCCTCCCCCTCCCCTCCACTACCTCCCCCTGCTCGCCAGCTGCCACCTGTCAGCGCCGTAGCTTGGCAATCGATCTGGGGCCGTGTTTGCGCGCCATATTTCGCGGGTCACCCTCCGCGCCTTTAGGCAGGCTCACCGCACTCTAAACGTGATGTCGTGCCAAAGGCGACAGACCCATATAAAGACCTCTAGGGCACGCTGCAAGGCTGGAAGGACTTCATGCTTGCGTTCCATGCAATTCTGCATTTGATGTTTGGTTTTTTAGCGCCGGTGTGCACTAAAACCATGTCAATGAAATGTCCATGCCAAAACCATTCATTTGGGGAATAGTTCGCCGTCCTTTTAACAAGTTTAAACTGGTAGTTTAAACTGTGCACAAACTCGAGCACTAGCCAATTCAAGGGTACAGATGGTATGCCGATGTATGATTATGAAATATCGGGCGAATGCCAAAAAATATCAAACGACTGTTACACATCATCACGATCACTTGAAACATTTATATCCCTGTATCTTGGACAGATAAACAGATCGATAAACGTGAACCACAACACATGATCGCGATCAGTCTTAAGAGATGTCAGTTGAGCCCGTATCAAAACACATAGTGAAACTATTCACCCCATTTACGGTTTCGCATAAACGTGGTGCTGCCCAGTAATGAAGAACTCCAGCTCCTCGAGTTTCAGCCACCAATAAGCATTGCTTAGTTGGGTGGACGGGTGGACAACGTGGAGATCCAGCCCAAGACTTCATGAAAATGTGGTCTACCTATGCCAAACCAATCTACGCCATTAATATCCTTCATAAATACGAGTGTGTTCTAAGGGGAGTAAGCCAATGGTATCTAGATCTAGAGTTTACGTTCTTCATAACTTAGCATGGTGTGCAGCCACACCTTAGCGAAACGTTACCCTGTCTAAAGAGCCGTTCGGTTACGCTCCATCCGCTTCCCATTCACACGTGAGGTAAATAATGAACGCTCCCTCACATTACTCACGTTGCTTGACACTGGTACGGCTATGCTTCTTACTCTTCTCTCAGCTTATTTTCAAATCTGATCAGGCAGTGCCACCACATACCCTTTTATTTCGTCTATATATAATGCGTCTATTTAGTAAATATTTTCCACACTACGTCATTGTTCTAACGTAACATGGAACATTTTTGTGACGTTTAGGTGCTGCCAAAGTAGCCGTCCGAAATTGTCATCACAACACTCACTTGTAGTACTTCAATCGCCCGAGAGGTGGCCGTGGCAGCGCCGAACCAAGTATCATTATGTGCTAGTGTTCTGGCCATTCCTCATGGTGTTTTGTATACTTACCTGAGCGGTTCAATTGTTTACTTGCATGTACATGCTCGGTGTGGTGCTATTCTTAACCTATTCAATCACAAGCCTTAATTCTGTAATAACTACTATGTCCAACTTTTTGCATCATGTAGTACAAGACGTAATTCATGATTGAAACTTGCACAGCATGCACAACATTATTTGAGATCCAATTGACGGCCGTTCTACCTGGAAATCGTGCTCACCAACGTCTCTGATGAGCGGCTCGACGATTATATTGTTGGTCTTGAACGATGCACGGCCAATGGCTGGCAGACTTTGAATGACGTTTATATGCGTCATCTATGTCTGAATGATCTCGAAATAATCTACACACAATAGTCTGCACTTCTTGGTGGATATGGGTTAACTAGGTTTAGGTCTTCGAAAGAACAGGGCTGTGAACTGCACCGAATGATCTTAAAATTGCTATTTCAGTTCAAAACCTCATACAAGTGTGGAACACTCCCTTTAAGTCATTCGATTCCCAGTCTTATTGGCACCATAACTCGGACAACTGCTTAAATTCCTGCACTATGTAGCACAAAACGTGATTCGTGTTGGAGACTTGGCGAACCCATCACACTGAATGAGGGCTAACCGGAGTACACTGATGCCAGAAACTTCGCCTTCGCGGCCGTCGGAGTAGAGGATGGTCAAACCTGACTCGTGGATTGCTTCAACAAAAAAATTAGGAGCCGTCTCCTTTCTCGCTCTGTCCCTTTCGCGACAGATCTTCTTAGGATCTACGAATTTTGATTTCAAGTAGCCAGCCCGTCTCTGCTGTCTTGTTGAAAGGTGATGATGATCACAGCAGCGGCCCGATTCGAGCCACCGTAGCTGTCAACCGCCAGAGTGGTGTTAGTCAGATCTCTGACGTTACAATCTACAGCGACAGTGGTCTCTACCGGAACGAATGATCGGCGTCGTCGCCACCTTCCACCATGCACGGAACCGTGTAAGAATCCGTGCTCTCGGCTGAGTCGCCAGCGCTGAGACCACTTGGTCCCGGAGGAGGCTCGGAGTGAGCACTAGCGGCCAGCGCGGGCTCAGCAGTCGGCGGGGAAGGCGACTCAGGTTCAGCAGCAGACACCGCCTCTCTCGCGGCCGAACCACGACGCCCTCGAAGTTTTCTGACCATCCTCCGCAACTCGCGGGCCTCCCTGGTCACAATCGTATCCCGGTCATATGACACTAGCGTAAGCTTCCGGTGCCTACACTGGTCCTTCATGACAACCCCCCCCCGCCCCCTGATACACTGTGCAGGCAACTGGGCATGGAAAGCTGCACTGAGGCTTGCACCTGCATTTCGCGACATCAAGAAGGTTGTTGAATTTCGCCGCGGCGGCGTTGCTTCGTCACTCTTTTTCTTTCTTTGATTTCTTGCTGACAGCTCTGTTGGGATGACATCAATCCCTCTCCATCAATTTTTTCACGTATGGTAGATCATGAACAGCTGTCGCTGCACTGGTCTACAGCACTCTGATTTCTACCGTCGCGGTCCTGAAGATGGTATTAGTGAGTGTCCTTTTCGATTCGCTCAGCCACCTGTTGTAGCTCAATGCTTTCCCGTAATCAGCAGTTGGTGGTGAGACGGGAAGAGCCGGGTGGCGTATCAGAAAATGTTTTGTGCGCGACCGTGTGGCCTTCGGCATGCTTACTGCAAGGAATTGTTCGAAAGAAATGCCTCAGTGCCGGCAAAACTAAACTAATAAACCCATATCTCCCACGCAAAAAGCACAATTATTGCACAAAAGCACAACAATTGCAAATAAACATCACAATGATGCGTTACCAACAACAAACTTGAACTTAACTGGGCCTGATGGAGCATTCTCATAACTGCACAGCTTTGGGTTTTACCCAGCCTCCTGTCATCCCTGTGTGCCTCTATGGGCTCATTTTTGCTAAGTGCCGAATGCGTGCCGCGGAAGAGAAAAAAATGCATTATACCTGCATTTTCATATAAATTTTAAGATAAAAATGATATTAAAATAATTTCGCCAACCTTGACTGGCGTCGTTGCATGTCGTTTGCTTTTGCTCAGTTCACATTACTGGTATTTTGTGGGGGATGAGGCAATGCTTGTTGGATTTAACTGTGATGTGTTTAAATCTTTTGCGTATTATACATGAAAGCTTAGGAAATGTGTTGTGCACGGTGCTGTTTGTGCGCACGGAAGCCACATGTAAGCCTGCTGTTAATGTTAAAGGCGCAGGTTTTTCTCTTTTCATGATTTTAGTGTAAGGTGGCATTGGACCACTAGTTGCAGCCAGTTGTGAGTGCTTTGCCTGCTGCCTTGCACTATGCTTGTGTGCGCGTGCGTGCGTGCGTGCGTGCGTGCGTGCGTGCGTGCGTGCGTGCGTGCGCGTGCGCGTGCGCGTGCGCGTGTGCGCATGCGTGTGCGTGTGCGTGTGTGTGCGTGTGTGTGTGTGTGTGTGTGTGTGTGTGTGTGTGTGTGTGTGTGTGTGTGTGTGTGTGTGTGTGTGTGTGTGTGTGTGTGTGTGGTGTGTGTGTGTGTGTGTGTGTGTGTGTGTGTGTGTGTGTGTGTGTGTGTGTGTGTGTGGTGTGTGTGTGTGGTTTTTGTAACTGCATTTGCAAAGACATGTTTGAACCTAGTGGTACAAAATATACCATGTATTGTTATTATATGGTAAAGATGATGCATCTCTGCAATTACCCCTGACACTGCCCAGGTAACTAGCCTCTATTTCTGATTTGTTGTCTGAAAGCATTTTGAGGCATGAAATATTAGCATGACATTAGTGACAGCTAGCAAACATAATACTGTGAATATTTATGGATAGGGTTGGGTTACAATCCCACATGATAATGTATTACAGTTGTTGGGGACTGAATCCCATGTCACATCAATTGTTCACCATCACATCATCTTCCTTATGGTATGTTAGTGCACATAAGCAACACTTTGTGATGAAGGAAAAGTAATTTCCCTGAAAGTGATCAGATATGGAATTTTTGCAGCTGTTCCATTGCATGCCTTAAAGTCCAGGCTTAATAGCTTCCTGTATGAGTCCAATTATATCTAAGGTGTGACAAAGGCTAGTTCTTCCCTTGAAAACTGATGATCACTGTAGCGCTCACCTTTTTTTGCTTAGGTATGCCACGGACCTGCAATGCAATTGCCACGGACAGGTGCCTAAGAGGGAGGCATGGAAAGAGGGGCATCTGCAGTCCTTACAGTGAGTACAACTGTCAGAAGACTGTGCTGCTGTACATAGATATTGCACAAGCGTC